ATGGGTACTTGAGTAGAATAATAGTAATATATTTACCTCAGCCTCTTCACTAGTGTGGGGACTATAATCTTCATCTTCTGCATCAGAAATTACAGAAGATGATGGTGGTGTGCAGCATATATTAGGCGAAGTAAGAGATATGAACTGAAATGAATGACATATATCAGACATGTTTCATAAAGAATACATAATATTGCTTTACCGAGCTAGATTCACTTTGGTGGTCTGGATCTTCCACTATGCTCTCGTTATTCGAGGTAACGTTGTACTGAAAAAGGTTCAATAGAATAAAAAAGTTCACAGACTAGGCAGTGAATGATTATTACCTCAGAGTCCTTGCACAAGTTACTGCAATGAACATTTTCTGATAAACCGGATATTGATGATGATGGGGGTGTACAGCATATCTTGGGGGATGTAGAAGATATTACCTAGAATAAATCATAAATATGGGAACTCTACCAAAAAAAACATACTTATGTTTTACCGAGTTGCAGTCACTGTGGTCGCTGTTTTGTTTAACCACAGATGACACCTTACGTGAATCAGTAATCACTGTTTCAGAAGTCTTATCTTTTTCTTCATCTCTTGGATGCTGTGTGATAGGTGATAGACCTCTGTTACAAAACCAATTTTTGCTCATATTGAAAGGCTTTCCCTGGAAAAGTTCAAATATATTGTTTTGTAATTATTCCGTTTCAACTTAGAGAAATAATACCATTCCAAAAAATAATAGATATACAATATCGACTATCTTCAGGAAGAATACAACATGCTTGTTTTTAGTGAAAAGATATTTGATAAGAGTGCTCTCAAAAATGTCAAAAAGCCAATTATATTAGAGTAATTTTTGTCATTAGCTTTTTTCCCAATGAACTGACATCCACAAGCCATTTTTTTCCGTGCAGCAATAGTATATGTTGATTGTCAAAGTAAAATACTTTATTTTTAATTGATTCTAGTAGCAATACCAGTGAATGATGTTCGAAATTTTACCAAACTCAATAATACGTAATGTGTTATCATTAAACACTATATCCATGCATTAACACTAGAAATTTTTGAGTGTACAGATACAGGAAATAGGTATGATTTCCTGTTTTCTACGCAAATGTTTGATAAAGTCAGATATGTCAAATAGATCCGATAGAAAACCTTAGGAAATTACGATTCACTCCCTCATCAACTCCTAACCCTCAAAATTTATTTGGATAATGATCAAGAGCCCCTGAATCGTCAAAAAACAAAGTTTGAGCGATTTCTATTTTTTCGTTTGTGGCCCTTTTCTCTGACGCCACTGGACCTATTTTTAAAAGCTAAAGCTTTCTTGTCCATAGCCTCGTAGCAACCTTGTGTCTAAATTTCATCAAAGTCCCAATGGTACTTTCCACGTTATAGCAGAAATGAGTATCATGGTTTTCCGTGATCTACATGTCATATAGCATCCAACAAAACATAATACCTCACTTTCAAAATATCTTGCGATTACAATACTTCCTCGACCGTTGACGTGGGAAGTAAAACATGATATCTCTGATTTGCAATTTTAGATTTAGAATTTTATCACCCCGCTACTGTACCATATAGGAAATAATCAACACAATCTCCCGTTTAAAATTATCATTGTCTACATATAAAGTCGAGCTACTTGACACCGTGAGTCAAAAGCACAGTCTGTAGTGATTTTGTATTATAATGCAAAAAACGGAATCAGTACATATACAGGTATGTACCCTAAAAAAGATGTAAAGCAGCAGCTAGAAAAAAGCCAAAATGAGCTTTGATTGAAGTATTCTATTTTTAAATTTTCAGTGATGTATGGTCACACTCAATCTACTTGACCCTGTTCTTTAACTTGAAAAAAAAAACATTGTAGCTTTACATTCAAGAATCACCTATACAAAACTAAACCAACAAGATTAGATAAAGTTTGGCGTAAAATTTATGGGGGTTGACCTTTTGAACAGCATTGTTTTATCCTTCACGCTACTCAATATTCATTGCTTTTCCATTAAATGTAAGTAATACAGTCATATTACCATCATATCCTATTAACGATTGCATAAGAGTTCAAAAAGTCATACTTACCTCAACAGTCCTTTCAGACACACTCTTGAATACACAACAGATTTGAACGTCCTTCCAGCACGATTGGTGCCAATAAAATGAATTCTCAGATCTTAGACAAACCGACAAACCCTATCCCCGGGCGCACGCGCTTTATTGACTGGAATTAAAATGATCGGGAGACCGATCTGACGTCAGACGTACGCCATTCAGCTAGTTCGGGTATTGTGGAGGACTCAGCACTGGTTTGCGTATTGAAGAGTATTCTTCATGGGAGATTGATCCACCAGTGTTTAGTTAATTCGAGTATTTTGGGAGACTCAGTGCTGGTTTCTTGTGAATCGTATGGTAGAAGAGTATTCTGCATGGAAGACCGATCTAGCAGTGTTTAGTAAATTCAAGTATTTTGGGAGACTCAGTGCTGGTTTCTTGTGAATCGTAGGGTAGAAGTGTATTTATTCTGCACGGAAGACCGATCTAGCAGGGTTTAGTAAATTCAAGTATTTTGGGAGACTCAGTGCTGTTTTTTTGTGAATCCGAAGGTATTTTGATGGACGATTGTATCATATGGCTTTTGGTTGGCGTGACTATATGGTTAAGTCTGAGCTATTAGAGAAAATCGTTGATATACGATTTTATTTCAAGATTAGGAATATTCTCATAGATAGATGGTACCAAACATGAATGGTGATTTCCTTATCCAAAGATAACGTCACATGATTGTAAGGCTCAGTATAGTGATTAGGTAATTCAAGTATTTTAGGATACTCAATGCTGTTTTTTGCGAACCGGAGGGCAGGGAAGTATTTCAACTGCTAATATCACAGATTTGGAAATTACGCGTCTAAAGCTTATCATCATTAGGATGTCGTCGATACGACATAGGCTATTGGAAAAGCAAAGTGCTCGATCTGAAAGTTCATACAACCTCCTGGACATGTAATAGAAAAAAGTATTCTTGATTGTGTGGGCTGCTCGATGATCTGATAATTTTTGCATAGGTAAGTTATAATTTACGAAACGTTGGGCATCCTTCTGTCGTATGCTAGCAACGTTTTGTATAGTCTTAATCGAGCAAATAGTGTACTCAAAGTTGCTGGAAAGAATTTTGGTTATATCCATTGGAGATCCTTGAAAAATAATATAATAATACAAGTCCAAGTTAGGAGACTTCAGTAGTATTATGTAAAGAGAAATAAATGAAACTTGGCACCACTGCACGGATGACTTATCTACTGGTGTTTAGTTAATTTGAGTATTCTGGGGGACCGAATGCCGTTTTGTGATCTGAAGGGTATTCCGGTAGAGGACACATCTTACGGTTTTTAAAAGGTAGACCTATATAGCGGACTTTATATGAAAATCCGAAATGTTAATGTACAGTTTTTTGAGCTGATCCTGGATCAGTTTGCCTTTTTGTTGGATATACACGAATCAAATTTGATATATATTCGATATTTCTGGTAGGTGACTTATTGCTGGGAATTGAAAGGATTACCGATCCACATGGAGATGTAAATATATATATATATATATATATATATATATATATATATATGATATAATTGTATCATCAAACTGCTAACTAGATACAGCCAGTAAAGATAAATCTTTTTGACAGATTGTGAGGTCATATTTTCCAGCCTACTGTGGAATAAAAATGTAAGTCCTCCCTTAAACACTCCTCAAGGAAGCGTCATTGTTTCACTGTTTCCAATGAGAGATCCATTTTTTCCAAGAAAGGTTTATGAATCTAACTCTAGGAGACCCTACAATTTCTGGGGTCATTGATGGAGGCTTTTTTGTTATTTTTTTTTTTTGGACCATTTACAATAAGAAAAAAACACTCATCAAAATGGTCTGCTCCAGACCCTAAGTCCCATTTAAATTACACACCCTTCTTTATATAATAATAAATGTAAACCAAAATTTCGGATAAGAGGCCTGCAAATTAAGTGATGAGACTGGCAACGTAGCATTCGGTCTGGCAACACTGGAGGCGCCGGGCATGGAGGGGAGACAAGGGAACATGTGATCCTCCCAGTGTTACCAGGTTTTCCGATTTTTCGGTAGATCTACCGATTTCGGTCCTGGTCTACCGAACTACCGATTTTAAAGCAAAATATACCGAAAAGTGGACTTTTCTTCAATTGAATAATTTTTGTTCCTATATAAGAGAAATATTTCTGATGCATAGCGATAAAAAAATGACAACAAAGGTACTATTATTATTCATACTAGACCAGATATATTTTTATTCTCTTTGCCTGACATTGGTGTGCCACGTACGCTGATTCTTCGCATCTGGGGAATCACCGAAGATACTCGATGATTTGGCTACATCGCCTAGACCTAGCGGCTCGTGACAAGTCCATGCCTGTATTGTACGATTTGTATGATTTCCTGTACTTAGTAATTCCGAATTCGGCCAGTATTAGTATTGCCTGTCTTGCAGTAATTTTTTTTCGCGTGCGTGTGTGCAACATTTGAGCGCATTTTTGGCCGAGCATAAATTGCCATTCCTGCTGATGGACCGTTTGGCAAAGCAAAATTAGTAGATAATATGACTGATAAAAACTTATACAAAAATAAATCGGAAGAATGATTATCCAATATAGCTTACACATTTTTTATTTCATACACTTTCTGTTTTTTTATTAAAAATATTTTATTTTTAGTTAGCTAAAGTAAGATATAAACTGTTTATTTTTGTTTTGTCTTTCTGTTTTAGAGTATATTTTGAGTTAAATAAAATAATTTTAAGTAAATGCCTTCATTTACTCTTCGGTATTCAATCTACCGAAAAATTCCATACAATTCTACCGAAATATCGTCGACTCCACCTGGCAACACTTGATCCTCCTTCAGTACAAGTTTGAACCCGCTCAAGTCCGCAGCGATTGCATCAATTAATTCACAGACCTCGTACTTACCATATTACACGTAGTGCAATCATAGGTCTTATCCTCATGGACGTCGGTCATGTGATCTTCTAACAAATCTTTCGACCACATGGAACATCCGCAGAGGCAACACTTGAATTCACCCTGCTTCCCACCGTGCTCAAATTCAATGTGCAGGCTAAGTGCTAAGTAAGTGTCACAATAAAGTCTGCACTTCTTGCACTTAGGTCCGTTCATGTTGGGATGTTTCAGTTTAACGTGTCTGTCGTATTCGGTGTGGTTTTTGCAAACCTCGCGGCAACTCGGACACTTGATCAGCTTTTCTTTTTCTTCTTGCTTGATGATGACATCATTTGATGGTAGGCTATCTCTGTTAAAATTGTTCATAATGACTCTCATAAAACAGTATGATGTACGAGATCTGTAAATTGAGTGATGAGACTGGCAACGTACCGTCCGATCTGGCAACACTGGAGGCGGAGGGCTTGGAGGGGAGACAGGGAAACATGTGGTCCAGGGTTGCCAGACGTGGCGATTTGACGGTTTCAGATGGCGATTTTTATTTCTGACGCCAGTTAATTTATAATCCATTTTTGCTGATATGTGTATAGATTAATGAAACATGAATCGAAGACGAGCGGAAGTTCTGAGCTCTAAGCACAATGGCGTTTTTAATAGCCGGTAACTCCCGTCTTCGTTTTTCCGGTGCCACAAGATCACAAGTTATCGTCAACAGGCAGGCTACTACCCCCCTGATGCCAAATTCGTTCCATTCTCTAACCTGGAGTTTGATGATTAGACACCTAGTTAATGTTTACTTCAAGGATTGGCGATTTTTGACGATTTTCTCATCAAAACCTGGCAACTCTGATGTGATCTCATTCAAGAACAATTGGGTCTTGCATCTCGATAATGCTTCTTGTCACACAGTAATCTTAATAAACGAGTCTTTGCCCAGTAAAAATATTCCTGTCGTTTCTCAGCCTTCTTATTTTACTGACTTGAGTCCTTGTGGCTTCTTTCTATTCCAGAAGTTGAAATTTTCGACCAGCTGAAGGCTATTCCAGTCTCGGAGTGCCAGCACTTCCAAGAGTAGTCTCCAGTGCTGTGTGGCTTCAGAAGGAATTTTTTAATAAAATCGTAATTATATTTGAACAAAAAAATCAGTCTCATCACCGAATTTACCTTGTACATCCATGAAGAAACTTTGAAGTTTAAAGGCATAATATTGGAAAAAGGTTAAAAGATACCTGTGCGGGGGTTACGAATTAACCCATTTTCCAATCAGAAATAGGAATTTGCGTTACAGTCTAGAAGTAGCCACTAATGTCATGTGTGATGTCATATGTCTCCTCAGTTTAAATGCGGGGCATTATTAGGCATCTATAGGAGTACATTATGAAAAATCAGGTCACGCGGTCCAAATCGTAGTCGTTTGTCCGCCATATTTAAAAATCGCCGCCAAGTTGTAGAACGGTTATTCAACATATCTTTGAAACAAACACAATTTTAACCTTTAAAAGCGCATTTTACTCTTTGTACTTCCTCGCCCAGTAGCGTAATCGCGAAAAATTTCTTTCCAAACTAACCCATTTAACCATAGATGGTCACTAAAAGTTAAAATGCTTTACATGCGATTCATATGACATCTATTGCCTTTATGGCCTCCTTGATTTTCATAACTTTCTACTGTTCCGTGTCAGCACTCTACTTTGAGGTTATGTCACAAATATCTGCATCAAGTTGTCCATGTTTTTGATTTATATACTCAGTGACCATAAAAAATAATTCCTTCAACTTTCAATGTCCACGTTTTAGTTTTGTTTTGGTTTACCTTTGTTAAAATGTTATCCCATAGTTTTTGTGAAGAAAGCAGTTTCTGATAGCTGAGTAGTACAGATATTTTTAGTTATTGCACTTTCATTTACTAGTGTTAAGCATAACAAAATGGAAGATTTTCCTATATGAGGTACTGCACAAATTGATAAAAATCGAATATCTTGTTAGACCTGAGTAAGTACTGAATTATTTCAAAAATGTGAAACAATTTAGAGGAGTTAGATGAGCTTTAGGACCTGTACAATCTCGCTTTTGGACATGTGTTTTGTCTGGGCGTAAATGGACTACGAATGGGGTATAAATAAGCGTTCAAGTGTGAGTGAATCTTACCTTACTCTTTTGTGTCCCTCATAATGTTGTATGAGCTCTGATTTATTTTCCATAATCAAGTAGCACATTAAACATTGCCATTGGTGGTCTTTTTCTTTTTCTTTTTCTGTACTCTTCGCAGGGGGTGATGGCACTTTAGTTAGATGAACGTAATCGAAGGGATCGACGTACCTGGGGAATAATTTTCATTCTCATACGCGTAGCAATACAGTATTATACCATATATCATTTACGGTTCGGGTCGGCCGAGTTTCAACGTGCGAGAGAGATAAGATGGCATCACGTACGTTAGAAAGAGTTACAAAGAATGCTCCGTGACATTTCTCGCTCTTTCTAATATAATAATAATAATAATTGACTTGGAATGTACGAGCTACGGTGTTGCCAAGCCAATGAAGCAATGCTGCAGATGGCACAAACATCTTGATTACTAGTCCAAACATCACTGAACTGCCTGCAATGACTGATAGTGGACGGAATGCCATGAGATCGTACTGTTCTATAATTATTTTTTTACAGGGTGTTTTCAAAGTTAAGTCGTTTATTTTAATAGCTTGTAGAACTCATCAAAAGAAGTTGATATACCAAAAATCATATATATACGGGTGTCCGCAAAGTTGGGGTTTTCCTTTTCAGAAACAACTATCCTTGAAATAACAAAGGTAATGTGTAGTGAAACGAGGGCGACCAAGTAAAAAAAATAAAGGAAAAAGTACTCACTCTCCAGTTGACGAGAAGGGCTAAGTACATCTCTGCCCGAAATCATACCGCTCCAACAGAAAATGAAATCAGCTGATGGGCTACCTAGCAGACGCAGAAACCACATTGATTGTCTTACACTAAATGGCATATCTCCTAACAAGGAAGGCAAAATGTTGCGTAAAAAGTCTAGGTATTGCATCCCGTCCAATCGATTTGGGAGAATAAATGGTCCGTTCACCATGCCAGCCCAAACATTCACCGAAAATGTTTGTTGAAAATGTGCCCGACGGACAGCGTGCGGATTTTCTACTGACCAAACATGAGAGTTGCGAAACATATTCACCCCATTACGCGTGAACGTAGATTCGTCTGTCACCAATATGCACTTCAAAAAGTCCGGATTATTGTCATGTTGATGCAACAACCACTCACAAAACCGCACTCTTGCTGGAAAATCGTCAGGTTGAAGGGCTTGTACACGTTGGACGTGAAACAGATACAGCCCCTCTTCACGCAGCGTTTGCCACACTGTAGTTTTTGATACTTGCACTTCTCTAGCCACGTCTCTAGTGCTTGTTGAGGGATTCTCGTCTACGCGATTACCTCTACACGCGTGACCGTAACCGTCGGTTGAAGGTTGCATACTGACCTGACACACTGACCCCGACCCAGTTCTGTCGTCGGGTTGAGCCAGTGACCTTGTACCACTCGGTGATGTCGCGGCTACAGGACGGTATTCAGATATTTTTGATGTTGCAGAGCCCTTTATCTCGGTTCCCTTAAGACATTGGTGTATATGGTACTAAGAAAAATTGCATATGTTTTCAAGATCTACACGTCGTGTAAAGGAAAACCCCAACTTTGCGGACACCCTGTATATATATATAGGTTGAGTCATTAATTTTCAGATAATGATTGTAGAAGGAAGATAAACCAAAATATGTGTGTAAAAATAAAAAAAAAATTAAAAAAAAATTTTACCTTGTTTTATAAAGTATCCTCCCGACAAGTATTTCAGTGCGGACCTGTATTTGATCGTGAGGTCCCCTGTGAGGTCTTAAGTCACCTGATTCACGAGCCCGTTGTACTACATTAACAAAGGCACGAGGGGTTGGTTGCACTCGATTGGGAAACCGATCCGCATAAACATGTGCCATTTTTTATTTCGTTTGAGCCACGCAACAGACACTATTCACACGCGACTGAAACTGACTGTATGTATAACTGAACTGAATTGTAATCGTAAAAACATCGTTCCAAATTCTTTCGCTTTTTTGTTTCCGATGCGATGAACCGTTGTTGCCAAACACGAACACATGATATTATTGAGACAGGGCGGTACTCAAACTTCCAAAGGGCTATAACTTTGTTACTTTAATTTTACCAGAAAAATGGTAAAGGAAAAAAACATTTCTTTTGATCAGATCTACACACTGTTAAAATAAATGACTCAACTTCGAAGTCACCCTGTATATATATATATATTAAAAAATGTTGCATATCAGTTACTAAATGACAGTTCGTCAAATATCTGTCACCACTAACATTGAAACGGCACGGGTATCACGTATCTTGAAAAGTGACATTTCGTCATTTTTTTTGACATTACTTATGTTTTTTGTGACATAACGTAGGTTTTTTTACGAGATGTCAGCACAAGCTTGTTGTGAACTCGTTTTGTAGCAGTACGTGTTGCTTAAACGGCAGCGAACAGCGATCATAGCGAGCAAACGTTTTTGGTGTGCAAATAGTTCGTTCCACAACACGACACACTTAAGCATGCATTGTTGGTTGCAGAAAGCCGAGTGCCTATGTTTTGTGAAGCCGAGTAGTCTGTAGTGCTTATCTCTGAGAAGATGTGAAAGACAGAAGGCTGGTTGAGTAGCAAGATCGCATCTGGACGATTGGTCCGCATGTGTATAAAATCAGTGATATTTGCTATGTGAGCAAATTATTATTGAATATGCTGCCAGTGAAGTATATCTATTAGCTGTGCCCGACGGGTTATATTTATGCCATCCTTTTTGCAGACAGGTTATGTTCAAAGTTATAAATTATGATTTTTACCGTTTTTTTTGTGTTTTCAAAAACTTCGAGGAGCATTACGGCCGCGTTGTGTGCAATTAAGTCAAATCACAGAAACATTATAAATGACGCATCACACATCAAACATTTTCGCAGTTCCTCACATCTAGGTGGTGATTTGTATCTTCTATTGACATGGCAAAATAAATTTCTATAAAAATTTATATGATCTCTTATTTTTGAAATTCAGCAAATTTGCGTATCTATGCAATTTCCAGAATGAATAAGGAAAAATAGATGCGCAATTATTTTCTAGCTTTGAATACATTTCAAGAATAAATAATAGTTTAAAAAAAACTTAAAAACTGCACGCATGCGCAGATCGCGCGCTAGCTCTATCTGTCGTACTCCCCTACAGAGTATCTATAAAGGTATTTATCAATTCTGGCGGTTCTAATAAGGATAATGGAAAACAGTTATCAAATTATTGCATTGTACACGGTCCTTGATACGTGTTTCAAATTAATCAAGCTCCTGGAAATTTTTGAAAATTATGCTCAAAGATTCCGTTACGTGTTAAAAAAATGGAATTATCATCAACACATTATTAGCGCACACATACAAATTGAAGCAGATCTTACATCACATCAGAGCCAAACATTGGTAACTGAAGCATCATGACGTTTAGGCAACACGTACAGCAACAAAACGAGTTCACGACAAGTGTACAACAGCTTTTTTGTTTATGCTTCATCTTCACAAACTATTCATAGGTTTTTCACGATGAGTTTGACCAGGATATGCAAAGTCCAAAATATTTACGGTATGATATTAACGTTAATAATCAACAGAAACTACAAAAACAATCATGCATATTCCCTACTAAATTTTAGCATTTTCTTCAAGTACTCATATCAATTGGCAGGAAACTATAACGTTTCTAGATTGTGCTATTTTTCTGATGAAACGAATATACTTACTGGTACTCGACGATATATCCATCGCGATCTTTCATTTTCTTAGCAACAAGAACATTCCTATCATCATATGGGTAATAGACTCGAGCTTTGTTGCTTTCTGATTCGAGCGGTGGACATCTGGCAGTTGATGAATCGACCCTGGTACTGTCAAGCCCGCTTTTCCTTAATACTGAATCATTCTTTTCTACTGACTTCCGAGGTATTGCCAGATCTTGACCAGGAGGTACCGAGTTAGAAGTACTGGACATAGCATCAGGCAAGGATGCCTGTCGAGGGTAGGAGGTGAGATCATTACTTGATAAGGGGTTGTGATGAGTACTGGAGACAGCACCAAGAGCGGTACCTTTTTCAAAGCCAATAGTCGGCGCAGAAGGATCATTTTTCGGGGCTATCGAGCGAGGTCTTGAAAAACTGGGAAGGGTACTGCTTAACGAAGCATTTGATTTAACAGCACCAAGTGGTACATCTTCCTGTAATCTTGCAGTACTAGGTGGCAGAGCTGAGGCGGCAAGATGATTCTTTTGGAATACTGTAGCATGAGGTTCTGAGGGAGGACTGTTCAGGGTACTGCTTAGTAAGAAATCTTGTTGAGCAGTACCAGGTGTTGAAGATGAAGCAGCTAGAGGATCTTTTTGGATGGCCACCGTATTCGAATTGTCTAAGGTACTGCCTAGTGAGAAATATTGAGGAACAGCACCTAGAGGTGTGCCTTTTTGTAGGACTACAGTACCAGGTGTTGAAGATGAAGCACCTAGAGGATCCTTTTGGATTACTATGGCATGAGGTTTTGTGGGAGAATGGTCCAAGGTACTGCCGAACAATAAATTTTGCTGACCAGTACCTAGAGGTGTACCTTTTTGTAAGACTACAGAACCAGGTGTTGAAGATGAAGCACCTAGAGGATCCTTTTGGATTACTACGGCATGAGGTTTTTTGGGAGAATTGTCCAAGGTACTGCCGAATAATAAATTTTGCTGACCAGTACCTAGAGGTGTACCTTTTTGTAAGACTACAGAACCAGACGTTGAAGATGAAGCACCTAGAGGATCCTTTTGGATTACTATGGCATGAGGTTTTTTGGGAGAATTGTCCAAGGTACTGCCGAATAATAAATTTTGACCTAGAGGTGTACCTTTTTGTAAGACTACAGTGCCGAGTGTTGAAGATGAAGCACCTAGAGGATCCTTTTGGATTACTATGGCATGAGGCATTGATGGGGAATTGTCTAAGGTACTATTCGGCAATAACGTTTCGTGGGGAGCGCCTGAAGATAGAGTAGACAGAGGATCAAATTGTGGATCTGAGGTAGGCGTTTTCAATTTAGATAGTGGAAACGTTTGCGCTATACAGTATCTAGGAATATTTGCATAAGGGAGATCTGATATTGAAGTTTGCAGCATCGTAGATCCAAACGGAGCGCTCGGCTTTCCAAGTACTGGCTGTCGATTGGTGCCAATGCTATTCCTGCTGGCTTTCGGTCGCACTTTCCGTAAAATACTTGACACTCGCACTTCTGGTGAGGGTTTAGATGTCGATTTTTTAGGTGCGATAGCGACATATCTTGGTATAGTTCGATTGGTAGTTACAGCCCTGGAGAATGTATTATTACCAACTTCAAAGCCTCCCAACTCTTCGAGCGGATCTTTTCTGGGGACCATGGATGGTGATCCATATATTAACACGAACCGTTGAAGTTCAGCCCTAAAAATTATTTTTATTGTTTGTTTTTTCCAAAAATGCAACGGGAATTTCTACAGGTGTATCTCTATGAAATAAGGCAATAATTTGTAAAGGCATTTATTAACAGTATTCTGTATACGTTATATTTTACAAATAGATCAATTTTGTAGACTCCAATCAATCAACAGTGTTCCTCATCGTACAGAACATTCTGTTTCCTGATCTATTTTTTCTCTTCTTGCATTATATATACTTTTTTGTTTTTAAACAGCGTGTCCGTTATTTGTATTTGGTATCTGAAAATTTAATTAGCTTATATATTGTTACTGATTTTCATTTTGGTTTGTAGCATGCTCGTGATTTCGTACCAAATCGTTTTTTGCTACGTAGTCAAGAGTATCGAGAAGTGACTCATTTAGCATCAACTTTCATTCTCTACATTTTGTCGTATGTCCATCCCTGCCAGCTTTCGAAATAAATCCTTTCTTACACCTTATGCATTCATATGGCCTTTCTCCAGTGTGCGATCTGAAACGTACAGAACAAATCATGAAAGTTGCTGTACTGATAAGCAAACAGTTTGAAGAATATTTAGGAAGTTTGGCAACGTTGGAAGTTTTTCAGCTTCGCTTATACGAGTGCGGTTCAATAAGTACCCGTGTTAGAAATGGAGACACAATTATTTTCCAAAAAATGTTTTTTATTTTTCAACATAGTCCCGTTTTAGAAAGATGCCTTTTCCCAACGTTCCTGTCATTTCTTAACCCCTTCAAAAAATAGGATTTGTCGAACTCTCCAAAATACGCCTCTGTCTCGGCAATGACTTCCTCGTTTGAGCTAAATTTTTTTCCCGCGAGCCATTTTTTTCATGTTAGGGAACAGGAAAAAGTCGCAGGGGGCCAGATCCGGTGAATATGGGGGGTGCGGCAGCATTTCATAACGCAATTCATGCAGTGTGGCGGCGACAACTCCGGATGAATGTGCTGGTGCGTTATCGTAGTGAAATAGCACCTTCTTTACCGAAAAATGTGGCCGTGTCTACTGTAATTTTTTGTCGAAGTGGTCCAATAACTCAGTGTAGTATTGTCCAATGATAGCCACGACCTTTGGAACAAATTCACCGGGAGAAATCCATTGTTTTGATTGTCGCTTAGTTTCTGGTGTGCTTGTTGTCCACCGCAATCGCGGCACCCATCGGGCCGACAATTTTAAAATAATCGTATGGCGTGAGGTCGGGTGACCTACGAGACCAGTGAATGTCTCCAAACTTTTTAGGAAAAAGTGCTTTCACCGTATCCATCGATTGTCTGGAAGTATGGGCAGTGGACCCATCCTGTTGAAACCATGTGTTAAATCGACGTTCTGTTCTTACAATACGAGCAAAAAAGTGTCAATCATGTCCTTGTATCGCTCGGAATTGCCCGTCAAAGAAATACGGTTTATTCCTCGATAGCAAAAGCACGTTGCGCTCGGGTCCAACGTTCCATTGTGACTATTTAACCCGCTCGCCGCACGCGTCGATCAAGATCTTTCTCCACTTCCTCGCGTATACGGTTGCCGCGTAATTCAAATTTGAAATGTGAACCCATTATTTGTACTCGAAGAAATAAAGCACTGGGTCCTCGATAATACTCTTGCAATCGAAGAGGGTCGTAGTTGGTAATTTACGAAAGTATCTTTATCTAACAATAACAACAGACTTAAGGGAAAAATACACACGGGCCAAAATGGATAGCGGATAAAGATATTTCAAATGTCAGAAGTCAAAATGTACAATTCTAGAAATGTCTGATACAACCACAAGTACACATGACATAATAGTTGGCTATACAGGACGTCCGCAAAGTTTGGGTTTTCCTTTACACGACGATTTTGAGCTCCACAAGCTCAATCAAAGCTGAACCAAACCGAAGCCGGTCCTGTCCTATCCCTCGATCACGTCCGCAGTGCCAGCGTACAGTTACGTACGACTACGATGTAAATACGGATTTTACGACAGAGCCGTACTCGGAGTTCCACTTCAACTGAACGTTTTACTTTTTTTACTTATTCGCTCACGTTTCACCACACATTAGCTTTGCTATAGCAAGCGTAGTTGTATCTGAAAGTGAAAACCACAACTTGGCGGACATCTTGTATAACATTCAAGGCAATCAAGTATATAACTAAAATTATACCAAAATTGAAATCAAATCAAAATAAGAGTGGGATTTTGTCTAAAAGGGTGCTTAATGCATGTTTTGATATTATTGGAGCTAATTTTAATCCTTATGAATAACTGTTTAAAATATGAGAATTTTTTTTGTTCTATCGTAACTCCTGTTCCGAAAGTTAGGAGCTCCGAGTTTTATAGCAATACGCGGCCAACAAATATTCTGCCGGATGAAGGGAAAGTATTTGCAGAAATTATTTACGAACACATCATCGAATTCATCGAGGGAAATAAAATTTAACCAAATTTCAAGCTGGATTCAGGACAAATGATTGAAATAGTAAAAGGAAACATACAGTGACAGTATTTTTGCAGGTCAAAAGGTCGTTTGAAACTATTGATAGGGACAAGTTACTTACATCACTACTCAATTGACAGAAGTCAAAAAGACAAAATAAGATCTGCGTTAACAAGCTCAACAAATATTTCTGATATTTGCCAAAAAGCATGAAACAGCTGTACCCAGTTGGCGGTCTGTCGTTGGACGGAGGAAAGCAGTATTATTATCTCTCCACCTGTTGTGTAAACGTGTTTTCATATGATACTCTTTCTAGGATTTGAATGCGATCTAATGTTACGTACAAAATCATACCTAAGATGCATTTTTAATGGTGGACGTTGGGTGAAGCATTTGTCACATTGCGAGCACTTGTAAGGCTTCTCTCCAGTATGAGTTCGCATGTGGATTCCCATGCAATACAGAGCGACCAGTTTGCCGCAAACTTCACACGGCACCTTTTCCTTGTGGATTCTCCTGTGCGATATCATCGCATGCCTGGTAAATGCCTAAAAAGAATAATGCACTACTGAAATTGCTGCTAAGCGCGAGCTGAAAAACTGTTTCGAAATTTTGAAAAAATCGCTCATTGCGGCTCATGAAGAAACTAAAACTAAATTTCCCAGAAATTATTGTGTTTTATTGGCACAAGTTGTTGTGTACCTATTTTATGCGTCCATGTTTTGAATCCCCGTTTGAACAACTTGCAGCAATAAAACCAGACTTTACAATTATTTCGCAAACCGAGGGTATTTTCGTCTAATATGATTAGACTAAATACTAAAATGAAGATGTAAATTAACTAAAAATGTCTATTTAAAATACACGGACACCTTCTTTGAACGGCCAGTTTCAGTCAGTCCCGATCGTGTCCGTCCAGAAAAGAACCTTTTTTCTTAGCTGACAATGTCAAAATTAAAGGAAATCAACATCCCCAACGATAATGATAAAACGGACCTAAAATGCATATTTCATATAATAATATGAAGAGAAACAGAAAACATAAATACACCGAAACTTTACTAGAGAAGTAAACAAACTATCATTGAAGTGTGATAATAGTGGGAAACTGGCAAAGGAGATCATTTGGGGAAAATAGAGAAAGAACCAACAACGCTAAAAAAAGGATCATTCACCTGAAAGAAGAACATTTGGCAACCCTGATCAGGTATCTATTATTTATTCAAAACTTGGGAACCGGTGAAAAAAAAAGTGATTGTTAGAAAACGTGCAAATCTCATAGCCTACTATGTAAGCGAGAATTTACGTTTAGAATTTAAATTTGAAACGTCCATAATACTGGTTACTGACTTTATTTTCATGTACAATATTTCTCTCGCCAACTAGTTGCTGGAACTGAACTAGAAAGCACATCAGGATGTTGTATATAACAGCTTACCTTTCCGCAGATGGTGCACAAGTCAACGGCTTTTTCCTTGTGTATATTTGCATCGTGCCTTTCCTTGTTGTATTCTGTAGGAAAAGTGATGTGACATTCTTTGCATTCGATTTTCCTTCTGTATTCAACAGGCACTATGTGATGGCGTTTTTGCTTGTGTACTTCCAGGCACTCTTGTGTTTCAAACTGCTTGCCACAAAGCCTGCATACGTATATTTCCGTTTGCACACTGTGTAAAACGGAGTGAGCGTCGAACCATTCTTTCGTGGTGAATTTCTGAAAAATAACTTGAGACTGGAGGAACGGCAATACGATGTTAAGACAGTTAAAATTTGAAGAATTAAGGTTTATGAAGTGGGTATAGAATTTATGGAAATTTTAAAAAATCGCGTCAAGTAGATTGACTCTATACTTTCTACGCATTCGTTAGCACTTCTGAGAAAAAAAATAGCTACGAACATGAATAACAAAAAATTAGATGACCCTCCTCCTCTCCCTGATGCTAGTCGTGTATGTTGTGTAGATTCATGTAACCATTTTAGATTTTTTTATATTTTCCTAATGACTATCAGTAGTAGAGCTAAGGGCATTCTACAGCGGAAGTGAGACAAAACAGCCGATGGACGGTTGCAGGTTCGCGTTATCGGCGCGACGGCGTTCCCATGCGGATGTGTGGCCGATAAGGTGAGGTGTAGTGTATACAGGGGGAGTCAAGAAGGTTGTATACAGGGTGAGTCAAAAGGTTGGGAGCGTTAAAAAAAAAGATGGCGGTGTATAGACGGTTGCAGGTTGGCGTTATCGGTGCGTTTTAAGTTCACCGTCGACTTCTGGGACCCTGTACGAGCCCCTTCCCACTTCAGTTGGCCCAACTATTGAAATCTTAGTTTTTTTCTTATCAAACACAAATAATAAAAATGTAGCAGGGTGTTCCAGGTTTAAAATATTGACAATGAATATTTTGGTAATATATAGTAGAAAACGCCAACTTTATCACTCCCTAATCAAATCTGCAGGATAAAAATAACACATGTTGCAATTACAGCATATCAACCTGTTTTCATTTCAATGCAAAATAAGTCTATAACGCATAGGTGGCTGTGAAAAATAAAAGCCATGACAATTGTTTTTATTAATCATAGCTGTCAGAATACGTTTAAAATAGTTTAGGATAGTTAAAGTTTTCAAAATGGGTAGAGGAAAGGTTATTAGTGATAAAATTCGGTTACTGATAATTAAATATTTTAATTCTGGGAAATCAAACACAGAAATTGCAACTTTGTTAGACTTATCGCGGTACAGTGTGAGAAATATTGTTAGAAGATATATCGTGAAAAACAGGCGTGCCAATTATTTACAATTAAGTGCTCTGTGGAGTGACGCTGTTAGAAGGAGAGTTTCGAGGTCCACAACTCATAGAGAGGCCTACAAACTGGGATTTAGCACTTTCTTTTTCTTATAAAAAAAGTGAAGTAAAAACCCTAAAGTTGCACAACTTGTTTAAAGGCCAAAGAAAAGCCACTATTAACTCCACTGCAAAAGAAAAATCGGCTTAGATGGGCTAAAGAACATGGACAATGGACACCTCAACAATGGTGTGCAATACAATGGAGTGATGAGCCCCGATTCGAAGTTTGTGTTGGTGACAGTCGCAGTAGAGTTATTCGCAAAAAAATTAAGCATTCCATGTTGACTGTCTGAAGAGAAAAGTGAAATTTCCAGCATCCATTATGGTCTGGGGCAGTATCTCATCAGAAGGAGTAGGAAAACTTCATTTTATTGATGGAAATGTGGATACAAACAAATATTTGGCAATTTTAGAAGAATCGCTTTTACCATTGATGGAAGAATGTTTGACATCCGGCCAAGATTTTGTGTTTCAGCAAGATGGTGCAGCGTGCCATACCTCAAAAAAGGCTATAAAATGGATGGAAGAAAATAATGTACCACTTTTGAAATGGGTTTCTAGAAGTCCAGATCTGTCACCTATTGAAACATTGTGGCACGGGATGAAAAAGGTTCTACGATAACATCCTGCTCGTACAATCACCGAACTGAGACAAAAGCTTCAAATATGGGATTGTTTTGCACCAAATTTTTGCCAAAACTTGGTTAACAGTATGCCCCAAAGAATTTCAGCGATAATAAAAAATAAACGTAATCTTTCAATTGTTGCTTTGTTAACTTCGCGCATTTATTCGCACATTGTTTATTTGTTCAGATGTTCTATTAGTTATAGGTCTAAGTGATTTCAAATATGTATTTTTTACGACTAGAGTGTATCTAAGATGTTTTTGAGAAAATAAATTGTTTTAGAAGTAAATAGTTTCGTCATGTTTAGTTTATAAAGGCATATTTTGGTACAAATCTTGAAGTGGGCCAACTGAAGTGGGAAGGGGCTCGTATAACATCCAAAAAGCAAATCTCATTTTCGGAATTTTTCGCGCTTACAGTTTCCTCGGCAGTAGGCGCGGGAGGTAAAAGAAAATGAACTTGAGTGGTTTCTAAAATGACCGATTCAAATGCAATCAAATACTCACCATATTGCATATCCCGCAATCGTAGACCGTATGTTCGTGCAAGGTGGTCACGTGATTTTCCAACTGTTGCCTAGACCACAAGAAAGATTTGCAAACGCAGCACTTAAAATCGCCTTTTTTCTTCTCATGATAGGTTTCAATGTGCAGGCTAAGGTCTAAGTACGTATCGCAGTAACGTTCGCACTTCTGGCAGAACGGTCGGTTCATGTTGAGGTGTTTCAGTTTGACGTGCCTGTTGTATTCGGTATCGTTTTTGTAAATCTCATGGCAGCTTGGACATTTATACTTTTTTTCTTTTTCATCTTCTTTGATGACGGCGTCGTTTGATGGTATGCCATCCCTACCAAGAAGGTGGTTTATACAGGGTGCCCCGAAAAAAGTGTGCAATATTCTACCAGCGGTTTCTAGAGCTTAAAATAGGGAGAACAGTTTATATAAACATAGGTCGACGAACGTCCCCTAAGGGCGCTACGGTCTTTTAAAGGGGCTCCCCTGAAGATGGTTTTTCCTTAATATTTCCGAAACGTGTTGAGATAAAGACATAAAATTTGGTATTCTAGCCTAGTTTTTTATGCTGGATTTCAAAATATTAACAAATTTAGACAGTTTTGTTTGGAAGCGTATGTAACAGGGACGGACTAAGGTTATTTTCGCCCCAACGTCAAAATAAGTCATAACAAATCAAAACAACTTTTGTTTGCAGTCATGGCTAACTATGTATAATCAACAATTCATTTAAATTCGCAGTACATTTCCTATCATGTGACAAATTTTTTAGTTTGATTTCATTCAACAATGGCACAATTATTCGATATTCAATAAGAGTACTTTTTTATGTAGAAAACCCTAAATTTCCAAATTCTAAAATTGAATTTCAAAAATAGAAGCACACAAAAATTTTGGGGCGAAAATAACCTGAGTCCGACGCTGTTACATACACTTCCAAACACAACTGTCTAAAAATGTTAATATTTTTAAATCCAGCATAAAAAACTAGGCTAGGATACCAAATTTTATGTCTGTATCTCAACACGGAAATATTAAGGAAAAACCAACTTCAGGGGAGCCCCTTTAAAGGACCGTAGCGCCCTTAGGGGACGTTTGTCGACCTAGCTTCATATAAACTTTTCTTCCTATTTTAAGCTCCAGAAAACGCTGGAAGAATATTGCACACTTTTATCGGGACACCCTGTATACTGAGTGACAAAACAAGGTAAACACCCACGTATGTTTATTAGAATTCAAGAATGTGACCACACTTTATACCATCCGAAAAACCTGACCATAAGGTAATCACTATCGAGTTGAGTCTTAATTCTTGGATTTTTCTATAAGGAGTGACAGAAAAAGGTTTGAAAAGATAAAATATCGATATCGATTTATCTTGCCATGAAAAACAAGTGAAAATCGGATAAACATGTTTACCTTGTCTTGTCACTCAGTATAATAAATCGTTGTCCATATTATTTTAATTGAGCGTCTTCAAATTGCTACCGCAGCTTCGCGAGTACATGCAGATCTTTTTGCAAGATCCTTGATTGGGGCGAAATGGAATGTTTAGTGTATAAAATAGAGGTGAACCACGTGTGCGAATTCAGCGATCTGCTGCAGTTATTCGGAAAAGGCAGTCTATTTTAAAAGCCTACACTGATGCTTGGCCAGGTCTTTGAATCTATCGCAGACAACTTTGAACAACATTCACAAGTTACAGAGCTGTAGTTGAAATTGCTTTTCGATAAACCGTGATTTGTAGGATTTAGCCCCCCCCCCCAGCTCTTTAAAAAGTTGCCTGTTGTATTCGGTATGGTTCTTTGCAAATATACTAAGTGACATATAAATCCGAACACCCAGTTTAAATGGTTTTATTTTAATAAAATTTTGTATAAGTACTTAATGAAGCATAATAAGTAAATGATAAAAATTTCAAAATGATTGCACTGCACTTGCCCTTTGACCTTTAATAATGTGTGGATGCACCCTGATGTGCTACGCATTCTCCAACGCGCCTAGGCATGCTTCTGATCAGGTGGTCCATGTCCTCCTGTGGTATCTCATTCCAGACAACCACCAACTCCTCTCGAAGTGCTTCTAGAGTCTGAGGAGGACGTTGCAAATTGAGCAATCCTACACGTGCTCAATTGGGGATAAGTCGGGAGATCTTGGTGGCCATGGTAACAATGTGACATCATTATGTTGAAAGAAGTCTATTGTGACTCTTGCAACATGTGGTCGGGCATTATCTTGTTGGAAAGTTGGATCTGCCAGGGTGTCAAGATAGGGTAAAAGATGGGGTTCTAGAACTTCGTGGATATAACGCTGCGCGTTCATGTTACCTCTGATGAAGATTAAAGGCGACCTGGAACCATAAGCTATAGCACCCCAAACCATAACTCCAACAGTGTGATGAACATGTCTTTCAACAAAAAACTGTGGATTCCTCCTTTCACCACGTCGCCTTCTAACCCTGGCACGACCATCGTGCATGCCTAAACAAAATCGAGACTCGTCACTAAAGACAATACTGTTCCATTCCTGATCCCAGAGTGACCGTTGTCTGCACCACTCAAGGCGATTACGTCGGTGTTCTCGAGTTAAAGGGAGGACCCAGTGTGGCCGGTATGAAAACAAGCCAAAACTTCTCATTCGTCGGTAAACACTTCGCATGCCAATAGGTCTTCCGTGTTCTGCAAACCATTCATTTGCAATGGACCTGGTAGTGGAGAAACGGTCCCTTAAGGCCAGTAATCTTAGGCGGCGATCTTCACGGTCTGTTGTTCTACGGCGGCGTCCAGTGCCCCTTGCGCTTTGCGTACGGCCTTCTCGAAGCCATGCCTGACAACACCTAACCACAGTGCACTCTAACTGCAATTGCCCGAAAAGAAAGTCCAGCTTCCCGAAGTCCCACTATACGGCCCCTATCAAACTCACTAAGTTGAGGAAATCGTACAGGTCTCCGTACTCTAGGCATCGTAACCGATCGTAAAGGATGTTAAGAACCAAAATCCGCCAACGTTGATTCTTTACTGTGGCTGAAATATTCATTTTTAGAGCGTTAGTGAATTAAAAAAAAGCAGTATAAAAAGCGGAATGTCCAACTGATAAGGCTGAAAATTTTTTCACTTGTTATTTACAGTAAATACATTCACCAACTTTTATTAAAATAAAACCATTTAAACTGGGTGTTCCGATTTATATGTCACTTAGTATATTACGGCAGCTTGGACACATAATCTTCATTCTTTTTATATTCTTTGATGATATGCTATTGTGACAAATAGTTCTGTTGGCGCCATCTGTTGGGCGAGTCTCCTACTCGCCAGAGCTTATTGGCCGATCACTGCTTTTTCGCGAACCAAGACCGCACAAGCCGCTTGGCGGCGTCTGTGAGGACTGTGACAGTGGATCGCCTTCTAGATCGACGCGAAGTGACCTCCAATATTCTAGATGTCGCTTTGCGGTTCACCGGCCTTTCTCGAAGCAGCAATTGGGACTATATATAACTCGGCGGCCGGGAGATGGAAGCAGAGAGTGTAGATTACACCAGAGCAGAGCGGAGTGGAGTATAGTGCAGTCAATGGCGACATAAGAATTAGTCAGACATAAATAGTGGTGTATATAAATGTTCTATCAAGTTAAATAAATTAGTGCATTTCTTTTTGTGGAATCCAGTGTTTTATTATTCGGTATGGCTCTTTGCAAATATTACGCAGCTTGAACACATAATCTTTTCAATCTTTTTATCTTCTTTGATGATATGCTATTGTGACAAATAGTTCTGTTGGCGCCATCTGTTGGGCGAGTCTCCTACTCGCCAGAGCTTAATGACCGATCACTGCTTTTACGCGATCTACGTCCGCACAAGCCGCTTGGCGGCGTCTGTGAGGACTGTGACAGTGGATCGCCTTCTAGATCGACGCGAAGTGACCTCCAATATTCTAGATGTCGCTTTGCGGTTCACCGGCCTTTCTCGAAGCAGCAATTGGGACTATATATAACACCAGAGCAGAGCGGAGTGCAGTCAATGGCGACATAAGAATTAGTCAGACATAAATAGTGGTGTATATAAATGTTCTATCAAGTTAAATAAATTAGTGCATTTCTTTTTGTGGAATCCAGTGTTTTAATCCACACCCAAAAGAATCCAGAAAAACGCTACACTATCCTAACCAAGGTGGTTTATAATAAATCGTTATCCATATTATTTTAATCGAGCGCCTTCGAAATGCTACCGATGCTTCGCGAGTGCATACAGATCGTTTCTCAAGAGTTATTTCTCGCCGATTTTAGACTAACATAGAAATGTTGCATTGAAAAACTTATGTGAATCTTACCTTATTTTTTTGTGTCCTGCATAGTGCAGCATAAGTTCTGCTTTATTTTTCATAATGAGGTGGCACATCAAACATTGCCATCGGCGGTCCTCTCGCTTTTCTGTGCTTTTCGCTGGAGGCGAAGGGACTTTTCGTAGAACACCATAGTCGAAGGGATCTCTGTATCTGGAGGAATATTTCATTTTTCTACTGGGCAAGATAAACTGAGATACTGTAGCGTCAGCTATAAGAATTTGTCATATTTTTGCAGTCATTACAGCGCCATCTATGAGACACTAACCTTTTCAAAGTAGATTCATAATAATTTTGTTCTACCCCGAAGCAGCAAAAATACCAGAGCTGACTGCACAAATTCCAAGAGAATAGCAAGAATTACAGGATGTGTAATGCTTGTAAAATGTTTTTGGGATTCCCTTTACATTTAAAGAAATTATGTGCCGATACATTTTGATATAAACAGAATATTCGATTTCAATTTAATGAAGGTGGTATGTAGAGTGTATGAAAATCAGAAGGTCGCCAATTTTGGCCGAACAATCTAGCTTAAAATAAATTAATCTTGAAATGAACTTCGAGGTCTTGTAGGGGAAGGTTTTAGCTTTAATTCAGAATTCAGATACCTGGCAACCTCAAAGATAATGATTTTTAACCGAGTTTTTAGTCATTGAAAATGAGCGTTTTTATGATTTTTCAGACATTAAATGGCTTATAGCTCGGAAAAAAACAATTTTATAGAAAAGTTACTGAGAACCTTCCTTGCTCAGAATGATCTGAGAAGTTAAAAAAAAATTGTCGGAGAGGAAAAAACTTTGCAATGATTTAAGAGGGGTGCATTGAAAAAAAGAACGGCAAAACTGTGGCCCGGAAAGATCCGGATTATTATTCTTTGACCTCAACTCGGTTGGTATCTTCTCATAAAGTACGGTCTTCTCATTTTGCACACTCAGTTCAATCCAGCACCTTCCAGACATTAGTATTGTGGGAAGAAAAACATTTATTGTATGGACATTATTTCCAGACTCGTGTTTACATGAATTGTTTCCATATTTTATGTGCAGAGCCTGCCCTTTTATGCATGACAACATTCTGTAATAGCCTGATTTCCAAGAGTAGAAACTATTTTGAAAATAACACGAATACTACTTGATATGACCTAATGCTTTGTAATGCCAAACCTCACCAACTTCAGCTTATTCACAAAATACAGATTTGAGATTTTACCCGACTGCCTCAGAAGGAGGGATATGTTTTTCGCGCGAGGGTATGTATGTGGACAAAAAGTCTACAGGGAAAACGGCTTGAAGGGTTTTGACATATGAGCCGTTTCTAGATTTGCCTTGACAGTGCAACTGTCACTGGTTATACTAAAATTTTATAAAATCAAAATGCCAGTTAATACACAATTTCAGCTTTGCCTATTCCGAGGGTTACAGCATACAAAGATTGATGGACTGTGTTATACGAGGTGTCTCTAGATTTGTCTTGACTGTGGGAGTGCCACTGGGTATCTTATAAAATCAAAATGACGGATTTTTATCGTTCTTTTCACAGGTTAGAGTCCAAATTGCAGAGTTATTACATAAAAAACCTATACACGTTGTCCGCAAAGTTGGGGTTTTCCTTTACACGACGTGTAGATATTGAGAAAATAAGCGGATTTTCTTAGTAGCATATGCGCCAACTCGATCAAATCTGAACCAAATTGAAGCCGGTCCTGTCCTATCTCCCCGATCACGTCTACAGCGCCAGCGTACAGTTCTACGCAGTGTTGCCAGAGCCAACATTGAAAATTCCGCTACTCGGGGTGGGGAGAGGGGTGGTTTGGCGCACTATCATAATCATAAAACAGGGGAGCATTTATTATACATGTTGTGTCAAAAAAGGAAAATAAAAACCAAACAGCGTGATAAAATATAACATAAAACCGTAATAAAAAGACATTTGACTATAAAAACCAATACAATATTACAGATAACTGTCAAACATTTATCACGCAGTCATATTAAAAAAAATGTCACAGGAAACTAAAAAGTAAAAAGCATATGACTAAAGGCCATTTCTGTTATGCATAAAAAAATTGAAGTTTACTTGATTAAACTTAGTCACTGTCTGTATTAGATTCTTCTTGTTGCATTTCTGTTCTCTCTATACTATATAAATATTTTTGTATTTTTTAAAATGTTTTTCACAAGCAGCAACATTTTTTTGTATTGTATCCAGTTTGATAAGTATCGCGAACAAAGTTGAAGGTAAAATACGATTCCTTTTCTTTGTTTTGATTATCTTCATATATGAGAATGTCCACCCGACATCTGCATTACCATGTGGCAAATCTTAAAATTATTAGACATACTTTGGAAATACACTCCACAGGTTGTGTTCTTACCACCTACTACCATCTATACAGTTGAATAAGAATTACCGACCGGTGGTTACTACTGTCGATCGGAAATATATCTGTATTTAGATTTCTTTAATAACTGCACTCAGGTTTTTTTCTGGTAGAAATATCCATCATGTGTTCCTAAGTTGCAAAATTCCGCTACTTTTAACAAAAAATCCAATTCCGCCGCTACCACTTGAAAATTCCGCTACTTCTGGCAACACTGGTTCTACGACGTAGGAATACGATGTAAATACAGATTTTACGACAGAGCCGTACTTGGAATTTCAATTCAACTGAACAGTGAGTAATTTTTCATTTATTTTTTTATTGTTCGCTCACGTTTCACCACACATTAGCTTTGTTATATCAAGCGTACTTGTAACTGAATAGGAAAACCCCAACTTTCCAGACACCTTGTTTATTGACACAAAAAACTTACATAATGTCAAAGAAACGACAGAATATCGCTTTTCAAGATATGTAATACCCCTTAACATTTGAGGTGTCCCTAGAGATTAGGATTGAAAGCACAATTAAATATTCATTATTTTCAGCTACTGCAGTCGGTTTGTCTGTAGTTTTTAAAATGAATAATTGAATAAGCTTTTATTCTCATAAAAAACATCTACTTACCTGCATTCAACATCTTCATGGCGATCTTTCATTTTCTTAGCTTTAATAAACATTTTCTGATCATATAGGATAGGGATTTCTTTATTTCCACCTTCTGACGAGACACGTGGCAATCTGACAGTCGAGGGATCAACTGTCGCTGGATCAACCCCGATTTTTCTTAATAGCGCATCATATTTTTCTAGTGACGTCGTAGGTACTATATGATATGGCATGGAGATTTCTCGATCGACTTTGGATGGTTCAACCCCGATTCTTCTCGCTGATGTCTTTTCTTGATATGTAACAGGTCCTGATAAATTCCTGGTACGAGGTGCTGAGTTGGAAGTGCTAGGTGAAGCATCAGGCAAGGATCCAGGGTGAGAGGCTAAATTTCTACTGGGGAGGGTACTGCTTAGCAGGGCTTTTGGTTTACCGGTACCAGCTGTATGTAAGACTGTACAAGGTGCTGAAGATGAGGAGGCTCGAGGATCCTTTCGTATGACCATAGTTCGACGTTTTGTGGAAGAACAGTCTATGGTACCAGTGCCAAGAGCTGTACCTTTTTGCAATACTACAGAACCAGGTGCTGACGATGAGGTATCCAAGGGATCCTTTTCGATGACTATAGCATGAGGTCTTGAGGGGGATTCCAGGGAGTTTTGACGAACAGTGCCAAGAGGTGTACCCTTTTTTAGTACCACCGTATCAGGTGCTGGAGATGAGATAGTGAGGGGTTCCCTTCGGTTGACTATAACATGAGGATTGTGTAAAGTACTCTTTGGTAACGAATTTTTTTGAGAAGTATCATTTTGTATGTTACAGACTTTTTTCTGTCGAGTAAGGTTTTTCGATTTTGATAGCGGGAATCTTTGTACTATACAATATTTAGGAAGTTCGACTTTTCTGTAACTTCGACAAGTCGATCCTTCTAGAGGAATTTTCCTATAAGGACGATCTGCTAGTAAAGCTTGCATCATCCTAGGTTCAGTTGGTTTGGTTGCCTTTCCAAGAACTGCTTGTTGAGTGGACCCAATATTACTTTGGTTTGCTTGCCGTAAGATACTTGATATTGGCACATTATTTGTTTTCGGTGCGGTAACTGTATATTTGGACTTTTGTATAGTTTGATTGGTAGGTCTCGCCGTTATGGGCCTGGAGAATGTGTCATTTTCATCTTCTAAACCTCCCAGTTCTTCGAGTAGCTCTTTCTTTAGGTCTATGGGTGATGTGTCATTTTCATCTTCTAAACCTCCCAGTTCTTCGAGTGGCTCTTTCTTTATGTCTATCGGTGATCCGTATACCAACACGAACTCTGGGAGTTCAGCCCTAAAAATGATGTTTATTGTATTTCTATAAATGCAACAAGAAAATTCCTAGTTCAATAGCTACATCTTCACGAAATAAAACATTTATTTGTAAAGGCCTTTATTAACAGTATTTACAAACTATATATGCTCTCAAATTTGTATAAATGCATCTCTAACCTCCATGAGATCGTGACAGATTCGGGGCCACTTTCCATGCGAGGTATAAAGAATTCTTTGATAAACAGCGATCCAGCAGACACTTCGAGATTTGAGTGTAGCGGCATTTTTCAAATTTTTGCCTTAGACCTTTCACCTACCGTTCAAGATACAGTGTCAGCTAAAGGTAATGAACGCAAGATTTGAATTTGCCGCCATGTTTGCTGTAAATTGTAGGCGGCCCTGAAAAATGAGCAACTTGACAGCTGAGAGGTTAGGATTAGTAAAGATAAAGCTTTATACGATACAACAACATATTTTCATTATCGACCAATATTTAAAAAATAATGAAAGTTTAGCTTCAGCAGTTAGAAACTTTTATACTGCAAGACACATTTACTGGTCGTGTACTTTCCCGTTTCGGTGATCAGAATTGGACCCTAGATCGTGTAATTCAACACCATTATATTTCTTCTTATGTGGTTACTTAAAGTCAAAGGTCTTATCAACAAAATTCAGCCACCTTATGTACCGTTGCGATATTCCATACATAAGCCTATCTTAAGTACCTTATGATTCAATAAAAAATAACAATCCAAAGACTGTGTTCTATATTTAGTTCAAAACTTTCGTTAAAATCTTGCGTTAATTATGGGACACTCTTTAGTAATGGTGTTGGAACGCGTACTAGCGTCACCCTGCCACGGCGCTACTGGCGAGACGACCAGACACGTCGCCTAACCTTGAGGCTTGTAATATCCGTTGGTCCACGCGCGCTGCACGGCCGCACTAGGAATGCACGGATCGCGGAAGCCCGGTATACACCTGTCGCGTATCTACACATTCATGTACAAGTACTCAATAAACTGTTCTGAACCGAAGACCACTGCGAGTTGAATTGCTTTGCTTACCTATCCTCAACAAATGGCAACTAAAAGATCATCGCAGGATATAGATTTTTCCGCTTTATTTTAAAGCTTATACAGTAGAACCCCAATTATCCGAAACAGATCACATACAATAATTTCTCCGTTTTAACCGAAGTTGTTCGGGTAGTTCCCCTTTCGGCGTTTGCGTCATTGGATTCGCCGCCGGTGATTCCCCAAGTGCGCTTGCGAAATTCACTGATATGTGTGCGTGTATGTTTGTTTCAGTCAGTTTCATAATCGCTATGATGGAGCAACATAGAAATAAACGTAAACGCGTGGTTATTACCATAGAACAGAAACTTGAGGTCTGATAGATCTAGTTGATAATGGTTGTAACCTCGTTGATTGTTTAAAAGAAATGAACCTCAAGAATGTGGCATGTTGGATAGCATGGAGCTAAATAAAATAAAAAATTCTACATTACAAAAATCTTGGTCGACAATAATTAAGCAAGAAATGGAACCTTGCGCAGAATATGAGAATAACAACGAACATTTAGAATGAGTTCGACGTAAAAATAGCAGCACGTGAAAATCAGATGTTGGTGATGAATTGGTGGAAGAATTAACTGATACAGAACTAATAACAACTGTTTGTAACAGTTTCAAGTGATGCTAGTGACAATGAGACAGAAATTTCAGCCAAAGTATCACATTCTGAGGGATTACAAGCTCTAAAAAAGGCGTTGACTTACGTCGAACAACAAGAAAATGCGACAGCAGCTGATGTACTACTCATCAAACGTTGGACGGATATTGCTGCCAAAAGTAGGAACAAAGCAAAACGTGTACAGTTAAAAATTACTTCCTTTGTTACTAAATACTCGTAAATATGTATGTTTGTATCCACATGTTTATATTTTACGTAACTTTATATAGTTACAGGTATACTCGCTTAACACACGCATTTACTTTTTTCAATGAAAGCATTATGAGTTTAAATATTTATTTCCGTTTTATCCGGAATATCCGAAAGCACTTGGGTCCACATTATTTCGGATAATCGCTGTTCTACTGTAATTTGAAAAGTGCACGATTTAATTCTTTTATATTTTTCTGATCACTAATATGACTTGGCCTATTCCCCGTCTACTTCTGGGCCACCCTGTATGGTAATATTTCTAGAGCGGCGCGAATACCTTATTTACTAGATACGAGGGATGTCTTTTAAGTTTTGCATATCGAAACATAGTAGGCCGCGCCGTTAGTACTGAATCTTAATCTCACTCTTTAGTAAACCTAAATTCAAAGTTTCACATACGTGCAGTGTTCTCACTACAGTGAATTTCTAATTGTCACCAAGTCATTAGAAAAACGCAACTCGACCCAGAACATTTTCGCGCCATAATATAAAACAATAAAGTCATTTAGAACTACCTACCGTGTTGCTTTATTTCCATTGCAAAACTTAAAATTAAAAGACATCCCTCGTATAAGAGATATCGATGGTAGATCAGAAGGAACCTGGTACTCAAAATTATGGTGAATGTGTACATTTGGAAAGGTTTCTTGTCTAACCTACCATCGAAGTCTCTCAGGTAAATACGGGAATGATTCTGATTAGATGATTTAAGTGTTCTTGAGGTATCGCATTCCAGGCTAGCTGTAACCGATTCCGAAGACATTCTAACGTTAGTGGAGGATGAGGTACAAAGGTCGCTTTTCTTTCTACCCATCCTCAACGGGCGAGATGTCTTGAGAGCAGGGCCGTCTTCAGAATTTTGTGCACCCTTAGGCAAAAATGAAATACATGTATGCCCCCGATATTGATTGAGAATTATGCATCCCCATGTCGCTGTGTCCTTTGGCGGCTGCCTCTTTTACTGCTCATGATCTAGGAGGCCGAACAAGGAAACTGAGTCGAGCGTTATTGATGTTAGTCTAATGTAGCTCTAGAGATACAGATACGGGTCTTATTAGAAAATAAATAAAAATAGAAAAATGTGTTTTATATTTAATAAAAAATAACAGTCTAAAGACTCAAAACTGTGTATATTTAATTCCAAACTTGCGTTAATTTTGGGATACCCTCAATGCACTAAGCATGCTTCAATTAAAAATGAGGTTAAAATGGATTTCAAATACAATACAGTGTGAATTAAAATAAGGTACCCGGGGGTAATAAGGCCCAACGCTGGTTTGCCCAAAGGAAAGCGCCTAAAATATTTATATCGCCATCTGTTAATAATATTTAGTATTACTGTTGCCGGAAATGTAATTTTGTTCTATGCTTATGAGCTTCCTGGCTTGTTCTATGGTGTCACGTTTCGCTGTGCTGTATTTTATAAGAATTTCGACCGGTAAGTAAGCAAATTAAATTGTTTTAATAATACGTAGATTTTTCATTATGTATGCATGATAATCTATGTATCTGATAGTTTCATTTTACGTAGCGTTTCTTTTTATGTTGGGTTTGTTTGTTGTTTAATAACCTCAAAATTAATGTTATTGTGCTACAGGTTATAAGGCCCGGGCCTTATTTTCTACAATGCATTGAAAAAGGCTTGGGCTTTATTTTCTGCCGCCATGAATACACGTATTCATTAGATTTATTTATTCTTTTACAGAAGATGGGTAAAAAAAGCAGAGGGATAAGGGCAAATTGGGATGAAGAGATGATGAGAGAGGCATTAAATTATATTAACGAGGGAAAATCTCAGCGCTGGGTGGAACAAAAATGCGGAATACCCAGACGAACACTTAGGAACCACATTAAATCACAAAGCGTGAAGAGAAAACTAGGTAGACAAACAATTTTGACCGATAATGAAGAGACTGACCTTGAGAATAAAATAATTCGGCTAGCCGATAAAGGTTTTCCGCTAACACCAAAAGCATTACGAAGGTCTGTGTTCAGGTATGTTGAGCAAAAGAAAATTAAGCATTGTTTCAATCAGGGAACTTGTCTCGCTGGTAGGGAGTGGGTAAGGACTTTTCTGAAAAATCATCCGAGAATATCAAAACGTCGATCTCAATTCATGAATCCAGCAAGAGCCCAAAAATTAAATCGTTTTATCGTAGAAGATCATATCAAAAAACTAGGAGCGCACTCAGTTAAAAAATAAAGAAGCAAAAATTTATAATATGGACGAGAAGGGTTGCCGCTTAACACTTCACCACCAACAAAACGTTCTGGCAGCCAAAGGAGCAAAACGAGTGCATGTAATTTCTCATGAACACGCCGAAAACGCAACTATCGTCGCTTGCGCTAATGCTCTCGGACATGCCATACCGCCTGTCATTCTTTTTAAGGGCAAGAGAATGAAGCCAACCTACTCAGATGGCTTACCGGCTGGCTCAAAAGTTATGATGACGCCTAAAGGGAGCATGACGATAGAAACGTTTGATAAGTGGTTAGACCATTTCATTGAATACATGTCGCCTCCGCCAGTAATTTCAATTTTTGATGGGGCCAAATGCCATTTGGATATTAGCATTGCTGAGAAAGCAGAAGCTCATGAGATTCACTTATATTGTCTGCCGAGTAACACCACCCATGAGCTTCAGCCGATGGACAAAGCTATATTTCGAGCATTTGAAGCTTATTGGGACGATGAATTGTTAAAGTACTGGGATAAACATCCTACACGTGATTTAAACAGGGAGAGATTTTCTGAAGTTTTCACACCTACATGGCAGAAAGCAATGTCCATTGGAAATATTACAAGCGGCTTTCGAGCTACGGGAATATGCCCTTATGATAAGGATGTTCTTCCCATTGAAGCATTTGCCCCAAGTCTTGCAACTGAGAAACCTTACCAGGAGACGACCGCCGCTGCCGATGATTCGGAATATGATTCAGATGACTACCTGCCTTTAGTTGAATTGCGTAAAAAAATAATCCCTTTGAATAATCCCTTCGCGGAAGTGTTACCAACACCAGATCTAGTCAAAAAAAATCTGCTCCAAGACGTAAAGCTAGAAATTACAAAGCAGTTGAAGTCAAGCGATCCGTATTTTTAAAGGAGGTGGAGTCTCAACTTGATCCCGTTCCAGTCTTATCGAATACCGCTAAATCGCCATCTGAATCTGTGTCTTCCATTGCATCGAAAACAAAAGAACATAACGAAGAATGGCACTGTGTGATTTGCTACGAAGACTATGTAGCAGATATGAGACGATGTGCTTCTTGTGGTTTTTGGATCCATGAGGATTGTGCTGGTTTGACTGCGGACGATACTGAAAATTTTTTGTGTCCAGACTGTATGCCTTAAGTATTAGATTTATACTTAATACCATATTTTATCTTTGATACTGTTTTTTTAGTGTGTTACATTTATTTTTTATTCTATCAGTATTTTGTTGAACTGTTATTTTTTTATCTCTCATTCAAATCTCATTATATGTCGTTGCAGATATTAAGGCCCAAAGGGATATTTTTGATATTTATGTTTGGATATCATTATTTTAATATTTTCTTTTTATTTTTTGATTTTTTTTGTGTTTTGTTTATTCGTTTGACTTGTTTTTTGTTCATTTAAATATGGGCCTTATTATATGCACTTGCAGGCTTTAAGGCCCAGAAGACAATTTTTTTAATGTTCGCGTGATTCGCATGATTATTTTGTGTTCAAACATTACCATTATGTTGTGTTGTTTTCTATTTTTTATAATAATAAAAGTTTGAAAAAGTAAACTTCTCTCGTAGATATTAATTATAATTTCTTAGGTGGGCCTTATTACCCCCGGGTACCTTACATAAACAGAACCTAAGCACAACATAAAACAACACAATAAAAAAATTATGGCTTCTCATATTACTTTCGCTTCCGTTGGATATTTTTTTTTTCAAAATTGTGTAATTTAAAGCAAATCCAGAAGAACCTAACATTAAGTCTAGGCCCGCGCCTATCGTCTCTTAACTACATCCCTCCTTCGCAATTTTTACAATGCATATTCAGCGCCCCCTTGGAGGTAAAGCCAGTGCTACAGAACAGGCATACGTAGGGGCGTTCGCCTGTGTGCGTCCGCAAGTGGATCCTCAGCGGCGCACCTTGGCTGAAACATTTTCCGCAAAACTTGCACTGGTACGGCTTCTCACCGCTGTGCACTCGTTCGTGCATCACTAGGTAGTCTTTTTTCGTGAAGCTCTTTTCGCAGTACGAGCAGCTGTAGGGTTTCACGCCCGTATGGACCCTTGAAAATAAAACGGGAATTTCTACGAACACAGCTATACTCCGTTCGTAGTCCATTTACGCTCAGACAAAACACAACGTGAACAAGAGCGAGATTGTACAGGTCCGTATTTTCCTCAATGGTCTTGGAATAATATAAAAAATTAATGACTATTTTTATAGAAAGAAGTGCACATACTTTTCGCAATTCTTCATTCGCTGGAAGTACCTGAATCGTCGTCCGAATGGTTAATATTAATTATTACAGGTGCAATTTGAATATCGATCATATTGTTCAGATCCCACATCTTTGTTTGGATTGTCTCTTGATGCAATATTTCAAATGGTTTGCCTTCACTCTGTTGACAGCTTCATAAAACAAATTTTTCACACTTTTCACAATTTGAATGTTCTATTGTTTGAAGCCACAAACATTTTTATATTTGTCCGTCGGGCCGACCATTTTTCGCGCCGAACGTTCTCAGATTGGCTCCTTGAACACCGCCAAATTGATGCCAATTTTTCATCAAACATCATGTTCAGCGACGAAGCGCATTTCACTTTGAATGGGACGGTTAACAAGCAAAACTGGCGCATCTGGGCGAACGAAAATCCCCGTGAGTATCAAGAGCAGCCGATGCATCCTCAAAAAGTGACTGTGTGGTGTGCATTGTGGTCAAAAGGCATCATCGGACCTTACTTTTTCGAAAATGCGGCCGGGGACGCCGTTACCGTCAATTCCGAGCGATATCACGTGATGATAGAGGACTATCTTTTGCCGCAACTCGAAGGAACGGATATGGACGATGTTTATTTCCAACAAGACGGTGCAACATGCCACACAACCAACGTCAATATCCATCGATTGCAGTCCTTCTTCGGTGATCGCGTGATTTCGCGCAGAGGAAATGTGCCATGGCCACCAAGATCGTGCGATTTGACTCCCTTGGACTTCTTTTTATGGGGATATTTGAAAAGCAAAGTCTACGTCAACAAATCAGCCACCCTCCAAGAACTCAAAAACAACATCATTGCCGAGATAAATGCCATAGAACCGACCATGTTGCAAAATGTCATTGAAAATTTCGACCATCGCGTGGACGTCTGTAAATCCAGTCGTGGTGAACATTTGAGCGATATTATTTTTCATACATAAATGGTATAAATGAACCTTCAAAATAAAGTACCCAACTTGATTTGAATATCGATCTTTCTTGTTTTAATATGCGTTTACTTTCCTGCATCCGTTTTGGACAACCCCATATTTGTGCTGTATGACTAGGTGGTTAAGTTCTGCTTTGACCATATTTTCATTGAAAGTAATGTCTTTTGATAGGAGGCTTTGTTGAATTTCCGCCTTTCTTGTAGACATTGTGGGATTTTTTTCTAGTTCTACAAGTACCTGACGGATTCTTGAGGCCAGGGGTTAGTCTGGTTATCAACGTTTCATCCAAGTAATAAATCTTCCTGCCCTGGTCGCGGTATTTCTTTATTGTTTTTAAATTAATAAATAATCTCTTGGCTGTCCATCAAAATACTATTTCTGCCCCGTTTTACTATACTCAAAATGAAGTTCTTTCTATAGAATGTGCTCCTTTTGAAAGTAGGTAATTCTTCATCACTATTAACCTCCTGTAATAATTTCTCTATGGTTGGAAGTTCCTGCCTTTAAAAAAATTCCGATCAAAGTTATCAACTGAGCCTGAGTTCTATCCTGTCGAATCCTGCACTTGTTCGTTGTTTTATTGCAGCTCTGTTGTACATGGGCTACGAATAGGGTATAGTCCAATTTTTATAGGTCCGTATCGTACGCATAGGACTGTTATAGTAATTTTTTTAAGACGCGGAGACAGAAGCCTGAATACCGGGGAGCACCGCGGCTGCTGTAAGAACAGTTCGAAGATCGGATTAACAAGGTACGAGGCGTGTAAATTCAGTGATGAGACTGGCAACGTAGCGTCCGATCTGGCAACACTGGACGCGTCGGGCTTGGAGGAGACAGAAGGACGCGTGGTCCGTCTTCAGTACAATTTTGAATTTGTTTTTTTTTTATTGTGTTCTAAAAATGAGTGACATCAAATTGTAATTGTATTTTCATATAAAAATAGTCTCACTGTTTAATTTACAGACCCCGTAGATACTCTTTTTAAAAATCCTATATTCGGATTGCCAATACACGAAGTGTGTTGTCCATCCAATGTGAATCAGTTCGCAGAGGACTCATTTAGTGCGACATACCGATGTGTGCGATACGAACCTGTAGACGCGTATTATGTCTTGCCTATACAGCGTGTCCTGAATGTTGGGACTTTCCTTTTACATTTGAAATGACAAAAATAATGTACGATAAGACAGCAACGACGTGTAAAAGAAATAGAAGAAATATATTATTCGTTTGGTTGGACACGAAGGCTCGCGGGTTCGACTCTCCGCGTCGGAAGATCATTTCGAGCCATGGAGGGTTGTGTTTGTCTATACTGTATAATAATATGACGGGAAGAATAAAGCATCCCACAAACCGGCGCGAAATAATCGCGGCGAAGTATTCGCAACGAAATTCAGAGCGAAATTCGCAATCTGTTTCGCCTGTTTATTCATACCAAAGCGTCTTATTCGCTCCGCGAACGTGAAGGTTTCGACAGGTTGCGTACATTTTATTTTTGCCTTTTGCAATGAGCTCGTCTTCAGAAGAAGAGGAGGCACTTCTATTTCTTGCTTTAGAAGAGGAACAAAATGCATGGTAAGTTATGTTTATTTAACGCCATTTGATAGTTGGGTATGTATTAAGTTTAACGAAGTACGAAAAAAATATTTTCAATTTTGTTTAGGAAACGAAGGAAGTGGGTACATGATATTAACTTGGAACGAAATAAATTTGGGGAATACCATACCTTGATGCCACAACTTCGGCTGGATGAACAGCGCTTTTACGTATATTTTAGAATGACTCCAGATTGTTTCGATGAAATATTGAACTTGGTGAAAGATGAAATACGAAAATCTGACACAAATTATCGTGAAGCTATTTCGCCAGAAGAACGACTTGCTATTACACTCAGGTAAAAAAATTATATGTATTAAAATTAGTAGGCTTATCGAATACGAAAACTTCAGGGATCGTGAAATAAATATTTTATTGTAATAATTGGACTACATGTTGCCACTAGGATTAAATGTTGCTAAATAATTCGAGGCAGAATTTGCCTCCTCTGTTGGGAATATTATTGGAGTAAACCCAGTGCCGCTTGGGAAGGACGACATACTACTATCATACATACTTGCAGAAGTCTGGGTAGACGCTGAAGACATTTCTTCAATATGTTCAAATTCTTCGTGCGCTATTAATTCGGCTTTTTTTAGTTTTATTCGGGCTTGACGCTTTAAGGCAAGTGTTTTCACAGTCTGCATGTGCCAAGAAAAGTGAATCAATGGCCTCGCTCTCTTTTTTAGGTTTTTTACCTTCAAAATAATCAATGAGCTGTTGTACAGACGAAGATGGTGGTTCATAGCGTTTTCTGCTCGTTTTATATTTTGGTGTAGTTGCAGTCTGCGAAAAGGCGTGCCCTGGAGTAGTCACTGCTGTAGTGTTCAATGAAGAAGGTGGTGCTGTCTGTGTTGCCGAGGCGTTCTGTGCATCTTCTGCATCTACATCAGCATTTTCATCTTCTCCATGGCCGCGGTCTTCCAAATTTTCGGTTTCTACATTTCCAGCCCTTTCCTGATATATATTTGAGTTAAATTCGGCAGTCTCATAATGTATGACGTCAATATCTTTCACATTAGACGACGTTTTGGCAAATGCCAAAAAAGGACGGAAAAATTCCATGTAGTCAGCCCACTGCCATTTCTTTATGTTGCCCACTGCTTGGCCGGTCTTTGGTTTGGTAGATTTTATATATTTTGCAAATGTGTCTCTGATATTCTTCCACCTTTTTTTTACTTCATCACCTAAAAACAATTTTTTTTATAGATTCCTTGCCACTGGTGACACCTTCTATACCATTGGGCATAGCTTTCGAGTTGGCTTTACAACAGTGAGTGCAATCGTAACCGAAGTCTGAAGCGATATGCAGACATATGGAGCATATATATTTACCAGAACGAACAGAGAATATATGAAAAAAATGTGCTGAAGAATTTGAAAATAGATGGGGATTTCCCAATTGCATTGGCAGCGTGGACGGTAAACATGTAACAATCAAGAGACCTAACAACAGTGGCTCCAATTAATGGTGCTATTTACATAAATAATAGTACTTATGGCCATTGTTGGCCCGGACTATAAATTTATATGTGTTGATATTGGTGGTTTCGGAAAAAATAGTGATGGGGGTATTTTCGAAACCTCAAACATGGGAAAACGATTTGAACAAAATTTAATGAGTGTCCCTGCACCTAGATTTCTCCCTGGGCAAAATGAAATCTGCTCGTACGTCTTAATTGGTGATGAAGCATTTGCTTTAAAACCATACCTTATGAGACCATTTCCTTATAAGCAGACTTTAACAGACGTCAGAAAAGAGAAATACAATGTAAGACTTTGTCGAGCTAGAAGGGTCGTGGAAAATGCGTTTGGTATTTTGTCTCAAAAATGGCGAATATTTTACAGGCCATTAGAAACTAAAGTAAATACTACTATTCTAATTGTACGGCATGTGTTTTACACATTTTTTTACGAAGTAAAAGTGGCGATGACAAATATTTTCAATTCTTAGATCTCCCAGAACCCGTGCTTGGAGCTTTTACTGATATAGCAAATGATCCTCGGCGGGCAGCAAGGCTAGCATTTTCTACTCGTGACAAATTCGTAAATTATTTTAATTCTGATATGCCTATGCCCAATATATAGAATGTTCGTTTTCACATTTGTGTAGACTGTAAATTATTTAACAAGTTAATAAAAAATATTAGGTACATACCATTCGTATTTAATTCTTTTCCTATTTCCATCCAAATCTTGTCTTTCTTTCTCACATTCCTGTATTCATCGTTCGACAAATCATACAAACAAGGATACTTTTTCACCATTTCTATCAATAATTCCGTTTTTGCCATTGCGAATTTTTGAAGAACGGCGTCAAAAACGCGGTCAAAGGCGAACTAAAATACGCCGCGATAAAAACGCTGGAACAATCGCATTCGCTTCGCACAAGTCTGAGCCTGTCCGTAAACCGCCGCGTTTTAATCTGATCGCGAATTCATCGCCGCGAAATTTTCGCAGCCAAAGCGAATATTTCGCGCCGGTTTGTGGGATGCTTTAATGTAAAAACTGATAAACTGTCAAACAAAATAATGACAATCGTCTTGAGAACAGAATCAATAATTCTAACGGTCACAGCTTGTTATAATGATAAGTAATCAGTCTTTACCATTTGAGTGATTTTTATAATGTTTAATTGAAAAATTTCCCAGACTTGCAGGAAATAATGAGGAAAGACCACATTGTTTTTTGTTTGAAAACTTACAATAAATGTGCATTCTGTTCTTACACTGCTGTTTATTATTTCCCGCACGATTTTCACCGTGAATCTATTTCTGTGCATGGTCAATGTCATATTAAGGATATTGCAGATCATGCAGAGAAACGGTTTTTATTTTTAAAGCTAAAAGTCAAGCAAAATAATAATAAAATGCTGGAGCTGTTTTTCCTTTCTAATCAGGACACCAGTTGTTGAAGAAGTCTCTTTACAGTAAAAATGTAAATTATTGATAATAGGTGTAAATTATTGATGATAAAATGTAATCAAGACAAAATACAAAAATATTCATTATGAGATAAAAACATCTAAGATATTAACATAATATTAAATAGGTGGAAATTTAAAAAAAAGTGGTGCATTTAAAAATGCCCCTGGATACCTAGTACTATACCAGATTTCATTAAAATATCTGAAGTGGCAATACAGATATTAATAATAAATGATTAAATATTTGAAAACCTCGTATCTCAAAAGTAAACACGTTTAGCACATACGTTCATAGGTTTTCTTCTTCTTAAAATGGATCCAAAAATTTCCATCACAAATATTGGGATTCAATTAGGAAACACCCTGAAATACTATACTACAACTATTTAAAACTGTAATGACTCATACGAGTGATCAACACGTGATCAGAGCTCGATCCCGGCTTCCTTCCAGTACAGCCGTATAGCGTACGACATATGTCGTTTCTGTGGCTTTGCGGTGGTCAACAGCACAGACAGAGATGGAAATAATGGCTGATTGTTCTCCGCCGGTAGAACCAATGAAATCAAAGACGCGCCTCGACCGGCAGACTCATAGGCGTCGGCAACGCATTGGAACGTGTTTCGTTGAGCGATCGCATATTGTGTGTTTTTATAAGAATTGTTGTGTGATTGTTATTGTTGTGGTTTCTGTGGTTACTGTTCTGGTTATACTTAACCATGGAGAGTACAAATGGCACGAGTGGAAGTACTGAAAGCCAGTTAACAAGTAGACGGCTTCGTAAAGCACTGAAGAGGGACGCGAAAGAAATCGTGCTCAACGTGTTCAATTATCTGAACAGAACTATGTCGCAGGGAGATGCACTCGCGCGTTGTGAAAGTATGACAGGCGTTCCAGAGTGGACCATTCGCAGGGAGGTGCATGAAAAGAAGAAAACTGGAGCTACTACTGATCCAAAGTTTAATTTGAAGCGACGAAAGGCCGTTAAATTGGATGACAATGGCAAAATGGCGTTAAGGCGAACCGTACATTCATTCTTCTTTAGGAATGAGATACCAACCCTCAAGGCTGTACATGCAGGTCACACAGTTAAAAAAACCTGGATAGACAAAAACGTAGTGAGTAACCGACAAGCAAGCATTGAAGGTTTGTCAACAGGTCTTCGTGGACCGTCAGGGAAAGGTCAAAGATTGATCGTAACTCATATTGGTAGCGATAGTGGCTTTTTAGAAGAGTGTGACTTGATTTTCGTCTCTAAGAAAGGAGGTGATTACCATGACGAAATGAATGCCAGCTGCTTCGAGAGCTGGTTTCAAGGGGTACTTCAGCGAGTTGAGCCCAACTCTGTGATCGTCATGGATAATGCTTCCTATCATAGTCGTCCAGCCGAACGTGTACCGACTATGGGATCTCTAAAAAGTGACATGCAGCAATGGGTGCGCGAAAAAGGAATCCCGTTTGACGATTCATGTGTGAAAGCGGAATTGTATGAAAAAATTAAACAGCACAAACCTGCGAACATTAGTTACGTGACTGATGAGATGGCCCGTCAATGTGGTGTCACTGTGCTGCGGTTACCGCCCTACCACTGTGAACTGAACCCAATAGAGCTCATCTGGGCTCATGTGAAGGGTTATATTGCGCGCCATAACACAATCTTCAAATTACCAGACGTTAAGGTTTTGCTTGAGACTTCCATACAGCTAGTAACACCCGAAGCTTGGCAGAATGCTATCCGTCATGTTGTGAAGGAAGAAACAAAAATGTGGCAGCTTGACCACCACATCGACACCATCATAGAGCCAGTTATAGTCAATTTCAACGAGGAAAGCGATAGCGACAGTTTATTACTGTCAGATGTAAGTGGAAGCGACGATGAATAAAGGTAATTCCCAAATTTTTGACTTACAATATGTTTCAAACCACTCTTTATTAAGCATGTGACAAATCTAATTCACCCATGTTAAACATTCATACCCCGCCTATGAACAGCCGACTACTGGTAGTTAAGTGATGTTCACGTGAACATCGATGAGTCATTACAGTTTTAGATAGTTATAGTATAGGCATCGCACTGCTGGGGCTGGTTGATAAAATATATGGTCAAAGGTAGAATAGTTGCTGGGCTTTGCCTCCCAACACTACCTACTGGTCAGAAATTTTAAGAACTGCCCTAACGTGCGTACTACCTGGAGTTGTCGCCATCCTTCTCCTTAATTTTGCAACATTTAGGCTGGCTAGGTCCTGTACTGTATCCACCGCGATGGCCGTTGCACTAAGTGAACAAACCTACCCAGCTTGAGACGAAACTATCCAAAACGATCTGAATATACTCGCAAAGCATTGGAAGACACCTACCGTAAACTAACATCAAATCTATAATTTTGTCGTTGATGATCTATATGCTCTGTGAAGGAAAGTCCTAACTTCAAGTACACCCTGTATAACTTGCTCAACGAGATTTTTAACTTCAAGTACGCCCTGTATAACTTGCTCAACGAGATTTTTTTATTGCTAAAGCTAAGACCAAATCTGTTATTTCCAATTTTCAATCAGCTGACCTGTAGTGAATCTTCAATTTATTCTTCTGTGAAAACCCCTTTCCACAAGTGTCGCATAAATGTTTTTTCTCCTGAGGGCCAGTGCTCAAGTGCCTCTGATTATAGTGTTTTTCCAACGTTTCCATTTTGCTGAACACTTTACTACAATAAAAGCACTGATTTGGTAATAGTTGCCCTTCTATACCCACTCTATGACTGCGTACTTGGTGAGTGTACAAATATCTGGAAATATCAAACTACTATGTGGTTTGTACATGCCTTAGTTACATGAGAAAATTATGTGGATAGCCATTTTCAGATAGCGAAGTCTACAATAAATTGTAGGACGCCTTCACGGCCTTGATTTTCATAGTTTTCCTGTTCTTCAGTGTCAGCGCTCTATGTTGAGGTTATGTTACAAATATCTATATTTGCATCATATTGTTAATTTATTACTCTGTCTGAAATTTCCTACACTTCAAACAGAAAGCAATAGGAAAGCGCTGATGCCGACACGGATCAGTATAAGTCTAGAAATACCCCAGTCTTTCTGAAGGAGAAAAATAAAGTGAAAATCCAGGATGAAATAAAGGCGTCCTACAATTATAGGAACGACGATACGACCCTAAATCCGTATAATTCCTTGCTTTAGACAAATTTACGATAAGGCGTACCAGGCAATTAAAAAAACGATGACAATCAAAAATAGCACAGTAAAATAAGGTTCCAAAAATGGCCTCTGACAGATACAGGATGTTCAAGTGAAAATTTCGAAATCGAAAAAAATATATTTTCACAGTAGAGAAACTTTGTAAATGTGGAAGATATAAGCATCATACTTATACGGATACAAGAATCTACGTGACTCATATGATACCAGTGACGTATGACCTGGGTTGTTTTGACCCCTATGGAAGTAGAAAATATACTAAGTGACATATAAATCCGAACACCCAGTTTAAATGGTTTTATTTTAATAAAATTTTGTATACTTAATGAAGCATAATTAGTAAATGATAAAAATTTCAAAATGATTGCACTGCTTTAAAGCCCTTTGACCTTTAATAATGTGTGGATGCACCCTGATGTGCTACGCATTCTCCAACGCGCCTAGGCATGCTTCTGATCAGGTGGTCAATGTCCTCCTGTGGTATCTCATTCCAGGCAACCACCAACTCCTCTCGAAGTGCTTCTAGAGTCTGAGGAGGACGTTGCAAATTGAGCAATCTCCTACCCATCATATCCCACACGTGCTCAATTGGGGATAAGTCGGGAGATCTTGGTGGCCATGGTAACAATGTGACATCATTATGTTGAAAGAAGTCTATTGTGACTCTTGCAACATGTGGTCGGGCATTATCTTGTTGGAAAGTTGGATCTGCCAGGGTGTCAAGATAGGGTAAAAGATGGGGTTCTAGAACTTCGTGGATATAACGCTGCGCGTTCATGTTACCTCTGATGAAGATTAAAGGTGACCTGGAGCCATAAGATATAGCACCCCAAACCATAACTCCAACAGTGTGATGAACATGTCTTTCAACAAAAAACTTTGGATTCCTCCTTTCACCACGTCGCCTTCTAACCCTGGCACGACCATCGTGCATGCCTAAACAAAATCGAGACTCGTCACTAAAGACAATACTGTTCCATTCCTGATCCCAGAGTGACCGTTGTCTGCACCACTCAAGGCGATTACGTCGGTGTTCTCGAGTTAAAGGGAGGACCCAGTGTGGCCGGTATGAAAACAAGTCAAAACTTCTCATTCGTCGGTAAACACTTCGCATCCCAATAGGTCTTCCGTGTTCTGCAAACCATTCATTTGCAATGGACCTGGTAGTGGAGAAACGGTCCCTTAAGGCCAATAATCTTAGGCGGCGATCTTCACGGTCTGTTGTTCTATGGCGGCGTCCAGTGCCCCTTGCTCTTTGCATACGGCCTTCTCGAAGCCATGCCTGACAACACCTAACCACAGTGTCTACACTTCTTTGCACTCTAACTGCAATTGCCCGAAAAGAAAGTCCAGCTTCCCGAAGTCCCACTATACGGCTCCTATCAAACTCACTAAGTTGACGAAACCGTACAGGTCTCCGTACTCTAGGCATCGTAACCGATCGTAAAGGATGTCAAGAACCAAAATCCGCAAACGTTGATTCTTTACTGCGGCTGAAATATTCATTTTTAGAGCGTTAGTGAATTAAAAAAAAGCAGTATAAAAACCGGAATGTCCAACTGATAAGGCTGAAAATTTTGTCACTTGTTATTTACAGTAAGATAAATACATTCACCAACTTTTATTAAAATAAAACCATTTAAACTGGCTGTTCGGATTTATATGTCACTTAGTATATTTTGACTTTTGAAATATCTATTGCATTTTTGACCATGGTATTTAATTTACGCGAATTGCTGCTATTGTGAAATCGTTAGACCACACGTAGTGGAGAAAAAATATTCATATCCAACAATTCACGGCTGCTGCAGAAATTTTTCGCAGACAAGACGTAACTTTTTGTAAAAGTGTAGCCTTCAAAAAATATTTGAAGAGCGACGCGACAACAAATCTCAGAGTGGTCGAATTCTAAAAATCCTCAAAATTGTACCAAAACCATGCCAAATATGCATACAGCAATTCACAACAGCCTGTATCTTGGACGTGGGATATTTTATACTCGGGAACCGAAAAGGAAGAGAGCAGCGGAACACATCATAACGCGGCCCCAGTGTTACCAGGTCTACCGATTTTTCGGTGGATCTGCCGATTTTGGTCCTGGAAATAATTTGTTCCCTATATAAGAGAAATACTTTTGATGCATAGCGATAAAAATAATCACAAAAGTAGTATTATTATTTGTACTAGACCAGATACACCTTTATTCTCTTTCCCTGACATTGGTGTGTCACATTCTTTGCTTCTGGGCTTGATATATTAAATCTGAATTGAACTATTCTGTTAATAACCTAAATTTTATTATAATTTTATTTTAAGGTCATTAATTATGATTGACCATCTACTTCTGTATAAACTCTTTATAATTAAAAATGTTCTAATTTTTAGTTCGATCAGCTATAAAAGCGTGTTTTTTTCAACTATTATTTATTTTTCATTTTTTAGTTAGATTTATCAATTATTTTTTTGTGGACATGCCATGATATTGCATCGTCGTCGGTCCTTGATACGTGTGCGAAGTTTCAAATTAATCAAACTTCTAGAAATTGGCGAAAATTATACTCAAAGATTCCGCTAATATAAGCGTGTTAAAAAGCAATAAAGTGCGCGATTATGCGAAATGTGTGATAAAGATATTAATATCACAAGTGGAGGAGATGCACTTATAAAACACGCAAATGGGCAATTTCATAAAGGGCAAACCATAGCAAAACAGCCAAAACTGTTGTCATTTGCAGTTGCATCAGAGAAATTAGAAAATGAGATTAAAAAAGGTAAAACTAATTAATTCATTTAAGAAGATTTGAGATGATATAGATTATCTTATTATTTCCATGAGAAATTCGTTTGAGCGGATTATTGGCCGAGCATAATTTGCCTTTCCTGCTGATGGACCATTTGGCAAAGCAAAATTAGTAGATAATATGATTGATAAAACACACAAAAATAAATCGAAAGTCTGATTTATTCAATATACTCGTAACTTACACATTTTTTTTATTTTATACACTTTTTCTGTTTTTTATTAAGAATATTTTACTTTTAGTTAGCTAAACTGAGACATAAACAGTTTATTTTTGTTTTATCCTTTGTTTTAGAGTATATTTTGAGTTAAAGAAAATTGTTTTAAGTAAATGCCTTCATTTACTCTCCGGTACTCAATCTACCGAAATATCGCCGACTCCACCTGGCAACACTGCAAAGTCGGCGTGCTGGTATCGCTTCATATTCAAACAGATGCCGCGTTAGCATGGGCGTGCGATGTTTTTTTGCCGCTTTCTTTCTTTTCGGCTTTCTATTGTTTATGTTTTAGCATACAGTGAAATTCGTTTACTTCCAATAGAAAACACTAAAATTATTACCACGAATGCTCAGTCTCGCCATTGTAACATTTGACTAGAATAAATTAAACAATGTGTTTAAAAATAAAACCACTAAAATAATAAATTTAAGTTTAAGTCACTCGAAACTAAAAATAATTGTCATACATTTTCAGTTAGCGAATTTGAAAATAATATTGTTGCTAATATTTATGATAAGGTTTGGTGATTTCCTAAGCTTATTTCCCGGTTTGGAAAATAATCTTGTTGCAGACGGAGAAATGGTCATCACAGAGCAAAATAGGAATTCAGGAATAGTTCTTTCAGTGATACCCAAAGGAAACCCTTTAAAAAGGTATGAAGCTGTTTTAAACGCAACAGATGACATCGTCTTTTATCGACTTGATCATGTTAGCGAACTGTGAACTTATTTCTAGTTTTGTCTTTGTAGTACAGGCGACACTGGATACAAAAATCGATGAAAATGGGTCATTTATATAATCAATTATTTTTTAATATCTCTATATTGTCATTGCCAGATAACGTAGTAACGAGGCTTATAAGGAGCATTCTTTCTAACATACAGGGAGAACCACTTATGTCTTACGGCTCGAGTGTGTATAAGCAGATATGTTAGAAAGAGATAGAAGCCGGTTGGCCAGTGAAGGTCATCATCTCATTGCCTAGCAACGGTGACGCAGAAGATATGCAAACTGCCGCGTTCTCTAGGTCCAAATAATGGTTTTATTTTGTGCGTACACATTTTTGAATGGTGTCGAATCTGTTCAGCATCGATTCCGGATCGCTCTTAACAACGCTCCATTTTAGGCCGAAATGAATGGTCAGGACACAACACTGCATCATTAGTTCGCTTGGCAACACAGCATGTCGTACATTCCAAGGAAAGGTTTCCACCTCTATAGATCATAGATGAGCGATTTTGGCAATGTTGCCGAACCTAACGATTTTTCGGTATTTCTGCCGAAATGAGACCTTATTTACCCGAATACCGAAAACGTGCAAATTTTCTACGATTTTTTAAAATAATTCAGATAATTCCAGATTTTTTACCGGCAAAGAGGTGGAACCCAAAATAAGGCTAAAATGAAAAAATGAATTCTATCTAGTCTATGAAGTTTTACGCTCCATACTAGTCATACACAAGCGCACACTCAGGCTGTCGGGCACTCGAGGGACGTAGATTTAGGTTGCCTACAATTATGTACATACAAGTATGGTGTATCTGAAGTCACTTGAAATAGCATAAAAACCTTTGGTCGGCGCGTTCTTTGTAATTTCATGACGTATCATAGGCGTGCGGCATTTATTTAGAACGATAATAATAATGTTTTTATATCACAATAAATGGATTTTACTATCTTCTTATTTTTTTGATTTGGGATAAAAAATACTTATATTGGGAGTTTAATTTATGTTGACTGAAAATTAAGAAATGGAAAAATTACAGAATTCCAACGTTTGACATAGGCAAATATTTACATAGCAGGTAGGTATATAAAAAGGTATATAAAGACTTACATTATAGGTATTTATATATCATCCTCGCCTTCGGAGCTGTCGCTAGAGTCATCTTGTAGAGGAATTACAACGGGATTTACAGGAGGCAAAACACAATATTCATTTTCTTCTTCAATAATATGCCTAGAACACTGCTTCCATAGGTCTGTGGCAGCAATATGAGATACTGCATCTCTTATTGTGGCCAATAGCGATTCACTTAATTGAGGGGTCTGATTATGTTTTCTTACTTTTTTTTTAAAGCAGCCCAGACCAACTCAATCGGGTTAAAAATGCAGTAATAGGGAGGTAGACGTAATACTTCATGGCCATTTTGCTGAAGCAGATTGTCAACAACATACTCTTTTTCAAATTTTTGTCTTTTAATAAGATCCAATAATATGGCTTTGGTTGATTTTTGTGGTATTTCCATTCCCTTATAATATATATAATAATCACTGAATTTGGGGAAATGTTTGGTATTAACTGCTGCTCTATCCACTTCTCAAATAAGTCGGAGGTCATGTCCTCATGATTGTCGGCACATGATTCTTTGATATTTTTGGCAGATAACAGCAAGGCATTAGGTATAAATCCATTTTCACCGCCAGCATGGATAATAATGATTCGTTTTCCACGGTTGCATGGTGCATTTAAAATGCACTTGTTGCTGTCGTCAACCCAGCCGTACTGCACAACATCATGGGTATCATACCACGTTTCCTCCAGGTAAATCAGATTTATTTTCTGCTCTCTATAGATTTTAACTTTGTGCAAAAATTCTTGGCGCAATTCAACGATTCGAGACGACTCCATAATCACCATTCTTTTATCTAATTTTTTGTATTGAAAACCACACAGTTTTACAATACAGTGCAGTGAGTCTAAGCATTTGTAATTATAAAAATCTTCAGGATAATCCTTTAATTTATCCCGTATCATTTCCAACGTGGGCACCAAATTTTCTTTATAAAATACGCCGAATATCTTCCTGAAAACCCACGACTATTCTTTTTAATTTTTGCCCTATGCGCTTTCTGTGGAAGGAATGGTTGACTACATCTCCCCTTTTTATAACCCGATAAATGGTAGACCGACTGATTTTTGTCAGGATACAAATTCTGTTTAAAATTTGATTTTGCGAGGAATCTGGATTTTCGTTTTTCAGACAATCATACATATTTAGGATTACTCTTTGGGTCTGTTCCTCTAAATCTTTATGAAAGAATTCTGCCTGCACAGGTTCATCAACCATCTCCTCGTGGCTTTTCCCAAGGTCTCCAAAGAGCCATATTTAGGACACACAAGAACAATCAACACAACAATTAAATCAACAAGTAAACTGAGTATTCAAAAGTCAAAAACACACAAACTAATAAAATCTATGAAAAAACACGGACAGACTTAAGAAAACACGTTTATTCACCGCTACACGGCTCTGGCTAAACTGTTTCAATTTTCAGTAGCAAACCTGCACTTGTTCCGAGCTCTGAAATACACGCTTTCTCATTGGCTATGTCCACGCATAGGCGTGCTTTACTCCACGTGGACCGGTGAAACTGCCTTTGATCTCTTATACGGGGGATATTTGCTGCGAAATTTGGCGATTTTTGCAGCAACAGAGCGTGTTAAATATAGATATATAAAACGCACCCGGTATTTCACAGTGTTTCAAGTGACTTCAGATAAAGTATACATCCCTCATTCCGCTTTCCCTATATTAGTTTTTGTGCGTACGACAGGTACAGACTGGTACGTCACCGTCATTACCTCATGACCGGTCAAGCAATAACGAAACCAAAGCTCGACTGTATTTCATTGAATATTAAATTAAAATGCTGGATGATGAAGCTGCCAGTTCAGGGGTAAAACAGAAAAATAATCAGAATCTTATAAGCAAGAATTGCATCATTGGTTCGCCTGGCAACAACGCGTCTTGTACATTCCAAGGCAAGGTTTCAACCTCCATCATAGTCCAGTGCTATTAGCGGTTTTTTTTTCGAACAAGTAGTTGAACACCAACCACTCTCGTTAACGACTTCACAACAAACGATGTATTTCATATTCATACACATTGAAAGCCAATCCCGAAAAAGTAAATGAATTTCACTGTACTCAAAACGGCTATACAATTTTTTTGTAACCATACCTAGAGAACGTGAAAGTCTTCTCACACACGACACAGACAAAAGGCTTGATCCCCAAATGTTCATTTCGATGCTCCTTTGCCAGCAAAGCATCATTAAAGCCCTTTCCGCACGTGTCACAGAAATACGAAAACTTCTTGAGATGTACGTAGTTTATATGTACCATGAAACTGGTTCTCCGCATTGTCTTGTAAGGGCACATCGGGCAAGGGAACATTTTGTCGGCACGATGCGTGTGAGCGTGTGTGCCGTAATCGTAGGCCCTTTTGAACTTTTTGTGACATACTTCGCATTGGAAGTTTTCGTCGTGCGTAGGCAGGTGTTTTTCGGCGTCTTCTTTCTCTTGGAACTCGGCAGAGCAGGTGTTGCAGATGTACAGGTCTTGTAGTTCGTCGTATTTGAAGGTGTGCACCTAATAAGGCCAATATACAGGGTGTTCGAAGAACAGACGGAAAAATATGTAAATAAGTTTCTATAAACATGGGTTTTCAGGATTAAAAAAATTACATTTCAAAGAGATTTTGTAAATAAAATTACGTAAAGAATTGTTTTCTAGAAGAACTGAAGGGCAAATGTCAAACCTCTATGCAGAAAAGATTTTTAATGAACCCATGTTTATAGAAACTTTTTTTCATATTTCTTAACAAGGAATCACCCTGCATGTACAGGGTTTCCCAGAATATATGGGAATCTTTCGGATATATTTAGCAATCACAACTGTGCTGTCGAACATTTTTGATTTGTTTTCAAAGTGTTGATTAGAACTGCAAATAGCCTTAAAGGAAATAGTCATCATGGTGATGGCCATATTCGGACGTAAAATTCATTACTCTTTTCAATTCCGATGTAAAAAAGATGGAGTTCAATTTGAAAATATTTTATTGACCATGAAATGACCTAGAAGGTCACTCTTAAGGTACCACCTTTTTCCTCTCAAAGCCCCAAAAATTTTTTCTAGGACGCGTACTTTTCGAAATATACTAAGTGACATATAAATCCGAACACCCAGTTTAAATGGTTTTATTTTAATAAAAGTTGATGAATGTATTTATCTTACTGTAAATAACAAGTGAAAAAATGTTCAGCCTTATCAGTTGGACATTCGGGTTTTTATACTGCTTTTTTTTAATTCACTAACGCTCTAAAAATGAATATTTCAGCCGCAGTAAAGAATCAACGTTGGTGGATTTTGGTTCTAGACATCCTTTAAGATCGGTTACTATGCCTAGAGTACGGAGACCTGTACGATTTCGTCAACTTAGTGAGTTTGATAGGGGCCGTATAGTGGGACTTCGGGAAGCTGGACTTTCTTTTCGGGCAATTGCAGTTAGAGTGCAAAGAAGTGTAGACACTGTGGCTAGGTGTTGTCAGGCATGGCTTCGAAAAGGCCGTACGCAAAGAGCAAGGGGCACTGGACGCCGCCGTAGAACAACAGACCGTGAAGATCGCCGCCTAAGATTATTGGCCTTAAGGGACCGTTTCTCCACTACCAGGTCCATTGCAAATGAATGGTTTGCAGAACACGGAAGACCTATTGGCATGCGAAGTGTTTACCGACGAATGAGATGTTTTGGCTTGTTTTCATACCGGCCACACTGGGTCCTCCCTTTAACTCGAGAACACCGACGTAATCGCCTTGAGTGGTGCAGACAACGGTCACTCTGGGATCAGGAATGGAACAGTATTGTCTTTAATCCACAGTTTTTTGTTGAAAGACATGTTCATCACACTGTTGGAGTTATGGTTTGGGGTGCTATAGCTTATGGTTCCAGGTCACCTTTAATCTTCATCAGAGGTAACATGAACGCGCAGCGTTATATCCACGAAGTTCTAGAACCCCATCTTTTACCCTATCTTGACACCCTGGCAGATCCAACTTTCCACAAGATAATGCCCGACCACATGTTGCAAGAGTCACAATAGACTTCTTTCAACATAATGATGTCACATTGTTACCATGGCCACCAAGATCTCCCGACTTATCCCCAATTGAGCACGTGTGGGATATGATGGGTAGGAGATTGCTCAATTTGCAACGTCCTCCTCAGACTCTAGAAGCACTTCGAGAGGAGTTGGTGGTTGCCTGGAATGAGATACCACAGGAGAACATTGACCACCTGTTCAGAAGCATGCCTAGGCGCGTTGGAGAATGCGTAGCACATCAGGGTGCATCCACACATTATTAAAGGTCAAAGGGCTTTAAAGCAGTGCAATCATTTTGAAATTTTTATCATTTACTAATTATGCTTCATTAAGTACTTATACAAAATTTTATTAAAATAAAGCCATTTAAACTGGGTGTTCGGATTTATATGTCACTTAGTATATTTAGGTATTCCGTAGGAAGTCATTTTTATATCCGAAAGATACGTTGCATATTCTGGAATACTCTATAATTTCGGTTCCTAATTGCAGAACTATTTTGTCACTAGACAGACATTACTGACCTCCTCGTCTGTTTTAGGGTGCTCAGTTTTTTTGTGACTCAACATCATCTTTCTGGTTGTGAAGGACATTGAGCATTTTTTGCAACTCCAAGTTTTGTTAGCGACATACGCTCTTTTCTGTTTCTTTGTGACCTGTTGTCCTAGAGGTTTCTTTGATTTGTGTTCTGACACAGGACAGTAATCATCATCTTTTTTTACAGATTTTCTTTTCCGTGGCGATCTTGTGGTCCTAAAATATTTGTCACTTAGCAGATTTGATGGAATCGTTTTGATTTCTAAGTTTGTTGTTATAGTTGTAGTAGAAGCGGTATGTGAATAAAATGTGGCTAACTATGGAATTCAGAAACGTTAGGTGAAGCTTGGAATGTGTCTACTCTACAATTTTAAAGTGAATTTCGAATGATAATGGTTTTTGTGAAATTCTGAGTATAAACTATTTTCAAAAAATTCCAATCTTTATTAAAATGGCGCTGTATGTATAAAATGTCAAGTACCTACCTGCATTTTCTTTTCTTCTCTGAGACATTTAATTTTTTTTATCGCTTTGAAATACCGAAGAATAAATCTTGCAAAATTGCATACCTATTCACAGATGGGGGAGAAATAATTTCTTTATTGTAAAGCTCTTAAAGCAAGAGTTGTTGCTAAAACAAATATCGAACTTTTTCAATTATTCAACCGGGGTACATGAACAATTTCGGAATGCCATTAGACGCATATGAACAAAATGCAAAAAATAATACATTTTTTTCATGTTCATGGAAATAAAAAAGACATTAATTTTGTCTAGCATGTTCATTTTCATCCTTCATAGGGTCTTGCATATTTAATAACCAAAATCTGTATTAAGAATAATTTATTTGTATAACAAATATAATCATCTAGCTTATGATATACAGGGTGTTTTTTTATTGTAATCGACTGACAGTTCCATTATCAAGAAATATATAAAAAAGTGATTTTTATAAAATAGTCAAATATTTTTTCAATAGAATACCATGTATATTTTAGTATACTCTTGGAGGTCTCTTTAAAGGAAGAAATCTGTTATAACACATTATAAAATTTCTACTTCTGGAACTGTTATATTTTTCTAAGAAAAACACTCGACTTTGTCAGCTTGTAGGTCAGCAACTTTAGGATATATGCTAGCAAACTTTTCCGCAGAACGAGCTTCAGATTTCATAGTTTCTCGCTATTGAAACATTTCTTTTCAATTTTATGCATGTTCTCTACAGGATATTCGTAAACGCAAAATGTATTCTTAACAAAATCAAATGGAACATGTTGAGGACAGGTAAGCAAAGCAATCCAACTCGCAGTGGTCTTAGTTCAGAACAGTTTATTGAGTACTTGTACATGAATGTGTAAATACGCGACAGGTGTAGACCGGGCTTGCGCTGGCTGGTGTTGTTCTTCAACGGCTTTCCACGACAGAGTCTTTACGACTGATCGGACCGGGTTGCCAGGTTTTCAGTCACGTTGTTCGCAAAGTTTTGCTGAGAAAATCGCCAGGAGTCAACCATAAAACGCCAGGTTAGAGATTGGAATGAATTTGTGGAAGGGAGGAGGGTAGTAGCCTGACTGTTACCCGATGAGCGGAGGTGAGCGAGGTTACGCATAATAATAATATATGATAATAAACAACTCCTTGAAAAGGAAGGGTAGGGGTGTGAGGATGGGGGATAGGGGGGAGGGTTGTTAGACACGTCTAATCTGAACGAAACTAAGTTCATTCACATGGGGCAGATCTATTGTGCTTCCGCTGGTCCTCGTTTCATGTTACATTAATCTATGCAATTAATTTTTCACAAAATTGTTATCATATGTTCAATTTAAAAGACATTGAAGTAATGTATGTTGAAGTATATAAATTAGTTGATAAAATTTATCTGTCACCTCACACAAAAATATTTCCAATATAGCATTTCTTTGTTAGTATAACTGTTTCAATTTTATAGTCGAAATCACGAAAGATGACGATTACGTCATCATTTTAGTCTGTAGTAAAGACAAATGACAGCGATTTGTGAATATTTTTAATGACGTTTCTGATATGTTAGACTGAGACAAACAGAATTTTGTTGTCTAAACAAACTGTATTGCTAATTTGCATGAATCCGACAAAGATAGACGATGTTTTCATGTTGCATGATCGATCATATTTGAAAGATGAATAGTTAGGTTACGTTGTTTTCGAATAATACTTTGGTCTTTGGTGTTTCTGTCTTAAGGTATAACTGTGTTTTTCAAAACAAAAACTCCACACTAAAATTATTATTAAGGTATCACTCAAACCATGAAATAAAATGATAATAACAATAATCAGTGGAATAACCTAACTTCGCAAAATCATAATATGAATTTGTCGTCATTATGTTCCTGACGTCGTCATTTTATCATTGACGTACGTCCATTGATTACTTCAGTACAATTTATGGTATGACGTAACAGTCATCTTTCGTGATTTTGACTATATACTTTTAACTCATGAAATACTGAAAAGCCTTCACTTATACAGGGTGACATTGAAGTTGAGTCATTAATTTTCAGATAATGATTGTAGAAGGAAGATAAACCAAAATATGTGTGTAAAAATAAAAAAAAATGTTACCTCGTGCGGTCTTGGAGCACCGGCATGCCCTCCCCTGTGAGGTCTTAAGTCACCTGATTCACGAGCCCTTTGTACTACATTCAGCATTTTCGTAAACATGTGCCATTTTTTATTTCGTTTGAGTCACGCAACAAACACCACTATTCACTCACGCGTTACCGACTGACACGTCGACTGAATACAACTGAATAAAATTGTACATTGTAGTAAAAACATCGTTTCAAATTATTTCGCTTTTTTGTTTCCGATGCGATGAACGGATAAGGCGGATTATATCCGTTGTTGCCAAACACGAGCACATAATATTATTATTGAGACAGGGCGGTACTCAAACTTCTAAAGGGCTATAACTTTGTTACTTTAATTTTACCAGAAAAATGTTAAAGGAAAAAACATTTCTTTTGATCAGATCTACTCACTGTTAAAATAAATGACCAAACTTCGAAGTCCCCCCTGTATATGAAGCTATCCATTTGAGCTGCCATTTAAAGCCGTCAAATCGCCACGCCTGGCAACCCTGGACCGAACAGCGCACGCGGACGGCTGTTACAAGCTTCAGGGTGTTAGGCGACGTGTCTGGTCGTCTCGACAGTAGCGGCGCGGCAGGGTGTCGCTAGAACGCGTTCCAACAGAAGATATTTTTACGGTTTTCGGTTATCCTTTTTATAAGCCTTGTTCGTTAAACATTTTTTGCGGATTGAATAACTATTTTTTTCGTTATTTGCAGCTTTCTAGAATTACAATTTAAAATACATAAATACCACAGGATTTGTGGAAATGGAGGTTTTTTAGTGAATCAAAGCAAGCCTCTATTGAAATTACTTCATATTCACTAAAAATCTTCCCTTATTTATTTATATTGAACTGGAATTTCTGAAAAACTTCAAATAACTAAAAAAAATAGTAGCATAACCCCCAAAAATTGTATAAAAAAGACATTTTCATTTGAGAAACATTACATTTTGCGTTTATAAATACCCCATGTAGACGATTATAACAATTTTGAAAAAAGGTTGCTACTCTATCTGTAAAAGTGACTGACTTACACTTTGCCAAAGTTAAGCGATTTTTCGGAAAAAATACACCATAGCTCCAGAAGTAGCGTTCCAAAATTTCCATTGGATATGCGTTTCAAAATATACAGGGTACTCCGTTTAAACAGGTATATTTGCGTTGCCACATGATCACCCTGTAGAGAGCGGTAGATTTTCCACGTACTAGCTGCTCGAATATATTTGAAAATTACAAAGCTATCGGCAGATTAAACACTAAAAACTCACCTTGAATCCCTTTCTATGCCTAAATTACATATTCTTCTATATATCTATATTGTTTACTATATTCTTACAAAAAAACAGGTTATGCGTTTGTAGATACAAAACTAAAACTATCTAAATATTATTGCGGCGCGTATATCCTAAAATAGTGCGTAAAGCTTTAAAACTTATTTCGTAACATTATACAATGCTATATCTATAAAATTACATTCTATTCAAATCAACATATACAAATTACTGGATTTTAAAATATTCAGAATATAGGTACAATAAAAACGTGATTAACTCTCATAAAAACTATAGTTACAACGTTTTCACACATTGCAATATTCTATAATTTCTTTGGCTTTTGAAAAACTACAGTTTGATGCACACATCTCTTAAAAATAAAAGGAAAATCGTCTGTAGATCAACTCACTAGTCATCACGCATTGCTATAATAATGGCACTGAGTCAACCAACTTGACGAAGCTTTACTACCTACTCTGTGGGTACGAACTTTAGGACTATGAGCCTATTCTTAACAGGAAGATGTAGTCGCGTGATCTCATTTACCACTGCGCCGATTTTGTGGTAATATGCTGAAGTACTGCTTGAAAATCGAATCAAGAATGAAACAAAAAATAGAAAAAAACACTTCGCTATTGTTAGCCGAAGATCCGATCATTTCAAACACCACCAAAATGTTTTTGGAAAAGTGTAAATTTTAAACGGATTCCATGTTTTGTTTTTGAAAATCGTGAATTTTATGAAATCTTATTTTCATACTGTAACACCTAATACTTATCTTGTGGAAAGGAACCACATTATTATCTAATGTATAAATTACTGGCCGAATCGTCAGTTAAAATATACGGTTTCATTAGGCCAGACGATCAAGGAGATATTTTTAAGCTGCATGGTTCTCATGGATTATATTTTAACGATATGCGCCAGCCAAAGTCCAAAACTATTTTCCGTACGTTCAAAATATGTATGGATGCATAATTGTAAATTGATATTAATTAACTTTTTGTTCTGAAAGACGTGATTTCCGGGGCATGAAATTGTTAGATCAATAATTGATCAACTTGTAGTATCTGCCTCACTCAACAATCTATACAGGATGTTTCCTAACAGAATGTCAATATTTAAAGGGACGATTATTATATTTAAGAAAAATTCATTTACAGGGTGGTAAGGTTTTCAAAAATAAATCACAATATTACAATATTATTAAGATTAGAGATAGTAAAAGGCAATCCGAGTCAATTTTACTATAGGAACTACTCTACGGAAATTAGACGTTTTCGAATTATACTAATTTTTAAGATTCTATAAAATTAACGTCCTTTATACGTTAACCAAGTCATAAAACTTGAAAATTGGGTGTTTCATTTGATTATTGACGTTATCTCATGCAGTAAGCTTCAAAATAGTTCGATTTTTGTTAAACAAATCTTCGTTCACCTCAAATGCTTCAGTTTACAAGAAAAAGTTTTCTTACAAAATAATTAGAAAACATCTACGTTTCATTACCTTTCAAATGAGGTATAAAAATCACAAATCGATTGAGAATTGGCAAAAATATGACTGTTATAAAAGGAGAAAGGAAAAAGCATTAAAAATACTACACTTGCAAAATCATACCTTAAAAGTCCATAGGTGTGAGTTCGGGACTGCGTGCTGGCCATGGGATTGGTCCGCCTTGTTTTTTCAGCATGACAGATGCCAAGCACATTTCAGACCAAGTGTTAGAAATTGGTTAAATGAGCAGTTTTAGAATCGATGGTTCGGTAAAGGCGGACCAATACCATGGCCAGCACGCAGTTCCGATCTCACACCTATGGACTTTTTTGTGTGTGGTCGCTCGCATGAAAACTTCTGACCATAATCCTGTACCCACAAGGAATTCAAGCCTCTCTTAGGAATTCGGCGGTAGCAAAATCAGCTGTCAAAAAAGTGTAGTTTCAAACAAATTATCCTGTATTAAGGTATGATTTTGTAAGTGTAGTATTTTTATTGCTTTTTCCTTCCTCCTTTTATAATAGCCATATTTTTGACAATTCTTAATCGATTTGTGATTTTTATACCTCATTTGAAAGGTAATGAAACGTAGATGTTTTCTAATTATTTTGTACGAAAAATTTGTGTTGAGGATAGGTAAGCAAAGCAATTCAACTCGCAGTGGTCTTCGGTTCAGAACAGTTTATTGAGTACTTGTATACTTTATCTGAAGTCACTTGAAACACTGTGAAATACCGGGTGCGTTTTATATATCTATATTTAACACGCTCTGTTGCTGCAAAAATCGCCAAATTTCGCAGCAAATATCCCCCGTATGAGATCAAAGGCAGTTTAACCGGTCCACGTGGAGTAACGCACGCCTATGCGTGGACATAGCCAATGAGAAAGCGTGTATTTCAGAGCTCCGAACAAGTGCAGGTGGCTACTGAAAATTTAAACAGTTTAGCCAGTGCCGTGTAGCGGTGAATAAACGTGTTTTCTTTAGTCTGTCCTTGTTTTTTCATAGATTTTATTAATTTGTGTGTTTTTGACTTTTGAATACTCAGTTTACTTGTTGATTTAATTGTTGTGTTGATTGTTCTTGTGTGTCCTAAATATGGCTCTTTGGAGACCTTGGGAAAATGCTCCAAGCCACGAGGAGATGGTTGATGAACCTGTGCAGGCAGAATTCTTTCATAAAGATTTAGAGGAACAGACCCAAAGAGTAATCCTAAATATGTATGATTGTCTGAAAAACGAAAATCCAGATTCCTCGCAAAATCAAATTTTAAACAGAATTTGTATCCTGACAAAAATCAGTCGGTCTACCATTTATCGGGTTATAAAAAGGGGAGATTTAGTCAACCATTCCTTCCACAGAAAGCGCATAGGGCAAAAATTAAAAAGAATAGACGTGGGTTTTCAGGAAGATATTCGTCGTATAATATACGGATTTTATAAAAAAAATTTGGTGCCCACGTTGGAAATGATACGGGATAAATTAAAAGATTATCCTGAAGATTTTTATAATTACAAATGCTTAGACTCACTGCACTGTATTGTAAAACTGTGTGGTTTTCAATACAAAAAATTAGATAAAAGAATGGTGATTATGGAGTCGTCTCGTATCGTTGAATTGCGCCAAGAATTTTTGCACAAAGTTAAAATCTATAGAGAGCAGAAAAGAAATCTGATTTACCTGGATGAAACGTGGTATGATACCCATGATGTTGTGCAGTACGGCTGGGTTGACGACAGCAACAAGTGCATTTTAAATGCACCATGCAACCGTGGAAAACGAATCATTATTCTCCATGCTAGCAGTGAAAATGGATTTATACCTAATGCCTTGCTGTTATCTGCCAAAAATATCAAAGAATCATGTGCCGACTATCATGAGGACATGACCTCCGACTTATTTGAAAAGTGGATAGAGCAGCAGTTAATACCAAACATTCCCCAAATTCAGTGATTATTATGGACAATGCGCCATACCATTCCCGACAGAAAAACAAAATTCCGAATATAGGCACAAAAAAACAAGACATTATTGATTTTATGAAGGATAAGGGAATGGAAATACCACAAAAATCAACCAAAGCCATATTATTGGATCTTATTAAAAGACAAAAATTTGAAAAAGAGTATGTTGTTGACAATCTGCTTCAGCAAAATGGCCATGAAGTATTACGTCTACCTCCCTATTACTGCATTTTTAACCCGATTGAGTTGGTCTGGGCTGCTTTAAAAAAAAGTAAGAAAACATAATCAGACCCCTCAATTAAGTGAATCGCTATTGGCCACAATAAGAGATGCAGTATGTCATATTGCTGCCACAGACCTATGGAAGCAGTGTTCTAGGCATATTATTGAAAAAGAAAATGAATATTGTGTTTTGCCTCCTGTAAATCCCGTTGTAATTCCTCTACAAGATGACTCTAGCGACAGCTCCGAAGGCGAGGATGATATATAAATACCTATAATGTAAGTCTTTATATACCTTTTTATATACCTACCTGCTATGTAAATATTTGCCTATGTCAAACGTTGAAATTCTGTAATTTTTCCATTTCTTAACTTTCAGTCAACATAAATTAAACTCCCAATATAAGTATTTTTTATCCCAAATCAAAAAAATAAGAAGATAGTAAAATCCATTTATTGTGATATAAAAACATTATTATTATCGTTCTAAATAAATGACCGCACGCCTATGATACATCATGAAATTACAAAGGACGCGCCGACCAAAGGTTTTTATGCTATTTCAAGTGACTTCAGATAAAGTATACATGAATGTGCAGATACGCGACAGGTGTATACCAGACTTCCGCGTTCCACGACCCGCGCGCGTGCGTTACAAGCTTCAAGGTTAGGCGACGTGTCTGGTCGTCTCGCCAGTAGCGGCGTGGCAGGGTGACGCTAGTACGCGTTCCAACAATTTGTATGCAACTTTTTCTAGTAAACTGAAGCTTTTGAGATGAAAGAAGATTTTTTTTAACAAAAATTAAACTATTTTGAAGCTTACTGCATGAGATAACGTCAATAATGTACATTTGAGTATCAATTTTCGTATTTTAGAATATATTTATTGCAACACAAAAAAAAAAAATCAAATGAAACACCCAATTTTCAAATTTTATGACTTGGTTAACGTATAAAGGACGTTAATTTTATAAGATCTTAAAAACGGATAATTTTCGGACAGTGGTTCCTATAGTAAAATCGACTTAGATTGGCTTGTACTATCTCCCCCCACCGGCTCCGCATCTATCTCTATCTATCTAATTCCATAAAAATATACGAAGTATTAACTTAGGGCATTTTGATAAAATTATGCATATATGTATCATGTAGCAAAAGGTATACTACTCAAAAAAATCAAATTTTTCAGTGGAAAATGGTGGTATCTAGAATTTAGAAAAAACATTTTGAGGCTTTAAGATTCTAGTTTTCAATAAAGAAAAAAGGGAAGAAATCTCCTATAAGATTTGATAGTAATCTTTGACGAATTTTTTTGCTATCTTAGTATTAAACGCCAAAAAGTTATTTTTGCATTGTTTTGGAAAATCGGAAATACCCTTTTAAACCGAAATACACCTGGAAAAAAATAGCTAACAATTTGATTTTTTCCTGCTCCCGTAATTTTTTTGAGTTGTGTATTTTTTAATGTACCACATCTTTCTTTTAATTATCACCAGTAATGTTCGTACGGAATTTCACCTGCCTATTTCGGCAGACATTAATGGTACGCCACTGGTTTCTCTTGAAATAAAAATCATTCTTGAAGCCCCCTTTCATTTCTGAGCAAAGATCATATGGTTTCTTCAATCAGATGCACGGATCTCGCTTAAAAAATAAAAAACCATTTCTCTGCATAATCTTAAAAACAACGTTAATAGATTTTGTTTTTTTTTTTTAGGTGAAAACCGTGCGTCGGACAACAAAATTAGATTTGCTCATAAATGAATGCAGATTTCTTTTTCAGGAAAAGCTAGTGACGTGCCAAAAGGTATATTTTTGTCTCAGTCTCCAAGTTAAGACGTTTATATGAACTTTTATTCTCGAAAGGGGCCCAAAATCGCCCCGTCAAATATTGACTCCAATTAGGAAACACCTTGTATGAGATGAATGAACAGACCTAACGACACTATCCTTTTCGATATCCTTTGATCAATTTTATGCAACCGCGACTCCATTGCAAATCTTCATATGGAGATTCAACGACCCTCTAGAGATGTACCCGCCATTGCAGAACTGACAAATGTACGGTCGTTCCCCGGTATGCCCCCTGGTGTGAATCCTCAAAGAAGCTGCCTGATTGAAGCACTTGCCGCAGTACTCGCACGGGTACGGCTTCTCGCCAGTATGAACACGCTCGTGCATGACCAAGTAGTCTTTTTTAGAAAACCTTTTCTCGCAGTACCTGCACAAGAAGGGCTTATCTCCAGTGTGGATTCTGTAGTGTATCTTCAGCTTATCCGAAGTCCCGAAGCCTTTACCGCACATATCGCAGAGATGTCGCTTTTCGATTTTCTCTTCTTTGCTCTCTCCATGTTTCGTGGTGATATGCTTCAACAACGTCGAAATTTTGCTGAAGACCTTCAGGCAGATGCTACATTGAGTCTTGTGTAGCGTGCCTTCGATGTGTACTGTATGGTACTTGGTTTGGTGTATTAACAAATATCTGGAGTAGACGAAGTCCTTGTTGCACACGACGCATATGAAAGGTTTGATGCCCAGGTGTTCATTATTGTGCTCCTTGAAGATAGCAGGGTCGTTGAAACCTTTGCCGCAAGTGTGACAAGTGTAATAGAACTTGTGGTAATGCACTCTATTGATGTGGTTTTGCAGACATGTCCTTCTTGGGGTAACGTAGTTGCATAAAGGACATGAATAGTTATCGTCAGTAGCATGACTTTTCATATGTACAGCAAAGCTGTAAGCCTTGCTAGATGTATGGTTGCATTGCTCGCATGTATAGAATTCTTCGTGGACTTTAGAAATATGTTCTTCTACCTCTCCTTTCGTCTGGTATTCCGCCGAACAAGTGCTGCATATGTAAAGGTCTTGATCCTCGTCGTACTTGAATGTATGTTCTTCTTTGGAATCGTCTATATGATAAAGCTTTGTGTGTTCCGTTAAACCTTTCCTGGAATTGAACTCGGCCAAGCACCGTCTGCAGGTGAACACTTTGTGTTCCTGTTTTTTCGTTTTAGCGCTTTCCGTTTTTGGTGTCCTACGTTTTTTCGATTTCTTCACGTAGGTCGGCGGTATGTATTCGGTATCTTCATCGTCGTCTTCCACTTTTATCTTCTTTTTCTTCGCTGGCGACGCCTTCAGTGTCGGTTTCTTATCTTGCTGGTATGCGGCAGAGACGTCATACTCGTCGTCGTCTACTTTCATCTCCACCTCGAAGTCGGGGAAGTACCTAAAATGAAATCATTAGTATGAGAATAAAAATGGCAAAATTATACTCACATTGAAAAAATTACTACAGCTTAACGTCACTTTCTATAATCATTTGATTCTTATACTGTCTTTTAGAACCTGACATGGAATAAATTTTTGCGTTTGGACATGTATACAGGGTGTCCCAATATTGCTCGGTTGGACATGATTTAGCTATATGCAAAAGTGCTTTGTTCCTTCGAGGTCTTCATTTTAAAACACATTTTTTGGGATATTTCAAGAACTGATAGTCCGATTTGCATGAAATTTGGAACACGCATCTTTTGCTGCACCTTCTGATATTTGACTTTTACGAAAAGCTCTAATGGGTTCGAGGAGAGTGGAAACTACCCCCACCCCTACATAAATTCCTGCAGAATTTTTGTGCAACTTTTCCGAAGACGCTCGAGTTTTTTATTTAGGAAATTTTTTTATTTACTTCATTTTTTGTCTCGTATAAAATGAAAGATTAGGATGTAACTTGCACGAAAATATCATTTTTTCTTCAAGGAAGCCTCTGGGTGCTAAGACTGAGGTATAGAATACTGCTTTATAAGCTGTTTTCTTCTTGTTCATACAAAAGATTGTTCAAAATTATATGAATATAACATACACTGTAAGTTACTGCGATTATCGCAATAATGCAATTTTGCATTATTTTAATGATGAAAATAGTTCATTGTTAAGTAGTTATTTTTTTTATTTCAGATAATTATTCCCATCACTACACCACCATCACTATCATATTCTTTCCATCTAGTTGCAGTGTTGCCAAATCATGGATAGTAATATACCTTAATTTGATTTGTCAAATTCTGACTTATATACTAGCGCAAAAATGTGCAATCGGCACAGGATTGTCATGAACATGCGATTTGGAGGTGTGGCCGACAGGTTTTACTGTATTAAATCCACCTTGTGCCCTACGATAGCGTTAGGTAAAGAGACTTTTTAGAAGAATGCCTTATGCCTTTCACAAAAGTACTTCGGTTATTGTTTTTCCTATATTATAGTTATAATTTACTTACTTTTTGTATGTATGTACTTGAAGAATTATTTAAAGTGAAGCTGATGTTACAAAATGTACCTAATTAAATGTGATATATATGAGAAATAACTGAAAAAGTAGCTGTTGCAAATCACTAAATAATGAAAACATAACAAGGAACAGTGCAAGTTTTTTGATGATTTGATCAAATGATTGTTGATCTTTATTTAACTATAATGTTGGACGATGATATGTTGGGTGGACCTGGCGAGGAGATCCAAATCGACGTAGGGTATTTTTATATGCAATGACCACAGGTGCCTTTTGTATTTTTTATGTCACGTGAACAGTTGGTGCATTTTCCACTGTTTAGGCACATACTGTTCAAAATTTCATCTAGTTTTCGGTAAATACTGGGACAACTTTTCATAAAATAAGCCATTTACAATAAATTAAGACTTATATTTTGCAAATAACCTCATTTGTAATTACGTATTTCTCCTAAAAAAGGTACAACTTGGCAACAGTGGACATCACTTATTTTATCTGTCAAGAAATGAGCGTTATAAAATAGCCATTGAGAATTGTTTTTACTTCCAAATATTTCTTATAAACGCAAAAACTTTGATCTCATTGAAAATACGTGAAAAAAATGGTTAAGGAATTTCAATAAGACATTGAAAAATCACAAAACAACACCTCTACACAGTTTACCAAGTAAATACCATCATTTACGTATGTATTTTGATGTTATTTGAGCTAATAAGCTAATGTGTAATAACACGTCTGGTTTTGAACCTTTTTTTGCAAAAAACAACATTTTTACGGTTTCACATCTATTTCCCTTAGTACTATACAGTGTATGTTATATTCTTATAATTTAAATCATCCTTTTGTACAAAATGTAAAAAAGACAGCATATAAAACAGTATTCTATTCTAGAGTATTACCACCAAAAATGCAACTTCGAAGTTCTATCAAATAGCAAGCAGAGGGTTCCTTAAAGAAAAAATGATATTTTCGAAAAAATTCTGCACTTTCTCAAATTATTCCAAAAACTATCGATATTGTCAGTTATTTATATTTTTAGGTAATGCTGCTTTATATTACGAATATCAATAAAAGGCGAACTCAAAATGGTACGCCTATGTCAAGTGGGTTGTGTCGTAAAGAACGCCTACACAAACGTTCGCGAACAGTTGCAGAATGCAAATGTAATGTGTGAGGGAGATGGAATTATAAACGTGATTCTGGTAGTTCTATTATTCGGTTTCTAAAAGGAACCGTTCTGATTCTGTCACACGTTCTCGGTATTTCTAAACCGCTTGCCATTGGCTATTGTCAGAATTCGAACGGTTCTGGGACAGATCGATTAGAAGCAAGAAGTAATAAATTAGTAATTGAAGTCGATCTGATACTTTTTGGAATACATGAATTCATCAAAAAGCTCTAATAAAGCTTCTCGATTTTGCTACTCAAGAGAAATGCAAGACTGTGCGTAAAATATTCATTTTATTCTGTAAAATGTATTACAAAAACAATACATACATATGCAGCTACAAATTCATATAAATGATGTGAAAAAAAATTGCAATCAAATGCTTTGGAGTGGTTACATATACAGGGTGTCCCAGAAGTCGACGTCAAGCCGAAACCGGGTGATAGGCAAAGGCATAACAGCTATCAGAAAAATATTTAAAAAAATTTTATGTATGTGTTTTGAAAATTATAGGTCTTTGAAAAAAATATAGAAATTTCACACCCCACGGCAGTCTGTCAACTCCTGTTACTACAAATATTAACTTTTTTTGGATTTTATTTTTACAATGTAATGATGAATAATGCATCTTCAAACTGGTGTCTCAACCTTACTGCCAACTTTTCTCGTTCTGGAAAAATTGCCACTTATTTCCCAACCAAGTATTCCAAAGTAAAACTTTTTTACTGTACTGGAAAAAAATGTAGGTACTACGAGAGTTTGGCAAGTAACCTTAAAAGTTGGCGCATTTAATAAGGATTCCAAAATGGTATAACACTTAGAAGATTACTCGTTAACTTATGCACAATTTTTATTTGAAGAAAAACTGATGAAAAGTTTTCAAAATTTCCTAATTAAACAGCGATTATGAAAACGCACAAGGACCCTTAAGGATAACTGTTTGCACAACAGTGGGCGTCAAAATGCTGCTGATGATGATTTACCTTTACAGCAAATGCTCACTGAGAGTGCATAGTGGGCTGGGCAGCCATCATGCTGAAACCACATGTCCCTGTAAATACTCAGTGGCACGTCCTCCAATAAATTTTCTAAATGATTTTGCAAAAAACCTAAATAAACCTCAGCAGTCAAAGTCTCTGGGAATTCAAACGGACCGATTATTTTACCATTTAAAATTCCTGTCCAATGGTTTATCTTGAAGCGATATTGAGATTTATCTTCTCTCATCAAATGTGGGTTTGCTACGTGCCACTCGTGCAAGTTATGCAGGTTCATGTACCCATCTTTCTTAAATGTGGTCTCATCCGACCATAAAATTTCAAAGAACTGTGGATCTTTCCTGTGTCTTTCTAACATTGTGCGACAAAAAGCAACTCGGGGCTCATAATCCCGGGGCAAGAGAGGTTGAACACGCTGTATGTGGTATGGATGAAGCACATCACTTACTTGCTATTGCACACTTTGATACCGATCAGTACTCCTTCGTTTACTGCGCATCTTTACATGTTCGTGCTGGTTGATTTCGTACTGTTACTAATTTTGGATTCATGAACTGGACTGTTGATCGCTTTTGATTTGGATTTGGACTGTTTAATTGCTCTTCAAAACAATATTTGCTTTCCTTAGACTATCTTTGATAGAGTGAAAGTGCAGTGCCGCTATGTCCGTGTACACCGTACAAGAATATGCTAACATGCACCTCATTTATGGGGAATGCAGATGCAACGCTAGTGCTGCAGCGAGACTTTACTGTGAGAGGTACCCGAATGCAGCTCGTCATCCAGATCATCGAGTATTCACAAATGTGCACCGCTTACTGTTCTCAGAGGGCCAACTGCCAAACCAATCACACGGTGAGGGAACATCTTTCCTTCCTTACGAAGACGTGGTGCTAGGAGCTGTCGAAGAAGACCCGAGTACTTCAGTGCGTGCAATAGAACTAAAAACAGGTGTGCCCAAAAGTACAGCCCATAGAATCTTGCAAAAAAACGTGCTCCATCCATACCACGTACAGCGTGTTCAAGCTCTTCTGCCCCGGGATTATGAGCCCCGAGTTGCTTTTTGTCGCACAATGTTATAAAGACACAGGGAAGATCCACGGTTCTTTGAAAAAATTTTATGGTCAGATGAGACCACATTTAAGAAAGATGGGTACATGAACCTGTATAACTTACACGAGTGGCACGAAGCAAACCCACATTTGATGAGAGAAGATAAATCTCAATATCGCTTCAAGATAAACCATTGGACAGGAATTTTAAATGGTTAAATAATCGGTCCGTTTGAGTTCCCAGAGACTTTGACTGCTGAGGTTTATTCAGGTTTTTTGGAAAATCATTTAGAAAATTTATTGGAGGACGTGCCACTGAGTATTTACAGGGACATGTGGTTTCAGCATGATGGCTGCCCAGCGCACTATGCACTCTCAGTGAGAGACTATCTCGATCAAAACTTTCCAGGCAGATGGATAGGGCGGTCTGGTACAATACCGTGGCCAGCCCGGTCACCAGATTTGAATCCGTTAGATTTTTTTTACTGGGGAACTGTAAAAGAAAAAGTGTATTTCAAGCCGATTCAAAATGTAGCTGAGTTACGGCAAAGACTATTGGAAGCAGCTGAGTTTGTTAATAACCGTGGATTCGCTCGTTTAATAACCCGATTTTTTTTAAGAAGATGTCGAGCGTGTACTGCGGCTGAAGGAAAACAGTTTGAGCAGTTGCTGTAAAGGTAAATCATCATTAGCAGCATTTTGACGCCCACTGTTGTGCAAACAGTTATCCTTAAGGGTCCTTGTGCGTTTTCATAATCGCTGTTTAATTAGGAAATTTTGAAAAATTTTCATCAGTTTTTCTTCAAATTAAATTTGTGCAGAAGTTAACGAGTAATCTTCTAAGTGTTATACCATTTTCGAATCCTTATTAGATGCGCCAACTTTTAAGGTTACTTGCCAAACTCTCGTAGTAAATTTTTTTCCAGTACAGTCGGTTAAAGTTGAGCAAAGTTTTACTTTGGAATACTTGGTTGGGAAATAAGTGGCAATTCTTCCTGAACGAGAAAAGTTGGCAGTAAGGTTGAGACGCCAGTTTGAAGATGCATTATTCATCATTACATTGTAAAAATAAAATCCAAAAAAAGTTAATATTTGTAGTAACAGGAGTTGACAGACTGCCGTAGGGTGTGAAATTTCTATATTTTTTTCAAAGACCTATAATTTTCAAAACACATAAAAATTTTTTTAAATATTTTTCTGATAGCTGTTATGACTGCCTATCACCCGGTTTCGGCTTGACGTCGACTTCTGGGACACCCTGTAGAATGAGAATGACGATGTATTATTTTTTTCACTTGTAATACCGGTTGACCCCTTGAAAATATCAGTATATAAGAAACAAAAGTAATTATTTTTGTGTTAGTGTGTTTTGAGTGGATTATTCTATTGCAACCAATTTAAAAATAATAAATCGGTAAAAATAAAATAGTATGGTTTATGCACATTTTTGTAAACAAAATCCCAGTTTATTATAATCGCTATTAATAAAATAGACAAATAAGTTTCTGTTATCTCGACTCAGCTAGAGAAATGCATCAAAAGTAACTGCGCTCCGTGGAATCGTGGTGTAGGGAAGTCGATCTTTCTGTTAATGCTGAAAAGACCGAGCTGATCCTATTCACTAGGAGAAGAAGGCTTGACGGACTGGTCATGCCTACCTTCTTTGGGACTAGATTAGTTTTGTCCCAGTCAGTGAAATATCTGGGAATTATCCTGGACTGCAAACTGAACTGGAGAGAGCATGTGGAACACAAGGTTAGCAAGGCTCGCAATTCGATGTGGGCTTGTAGACGTGTTGTCGGTGTAAGGTGGGGGCTTAAACCCAAAGTGGTATACTGGCTCTACACGACGATAGTACGTCCATCTCTCTTGTACGGCTCCCTGGTCTGGTGGCCTTGCATTAGAACTGAGTCAACTAAGGCCAAACTCAATAAAATTCAGCGTTTGGCCTGTATTAGCATTACAAGCGCAGTGCGAACAACGCCATTGAGTGCAATGGAAGCTCTGTTGGATCTCCCACCGTTGGATCTGGTGATCCGCGGTGAAGCGAGAGTAGTCGCTCATCGACTGTGGAGTCAGGGCAGCTGGGCTTTCTTGAATCCGGTCAAGGGGCATACTGCCATATTAGTCGAATTAGATAGGGAGGACCCCGTCCTTCTAAGCAGGGGTGATCGTATTACCCCTAAATATCGCTTCAACCGCAAGTTCATTGTGGAGTACCCAACGAGGGAGGAGTGGGACGCCGGTAGCCGAGGACTCTCCGAAGTGAGCGGGCAGGTCTGGTACACGGACGGCTCGGTCACCGAAGAGGGCTCAGGTGCTGGGGTCTCTGGACCTAGAACTAGGCTATCTCTGCCTCTCGGTGAGTACACCACCATTTTCCAGGCGGAAATCTTTGCGATTCTGGCTTGTGTATCTCACATTCTGGAGGAGGGTGGGCCTAGGAGAAGAATAACAATCTTATCCGACAGCCAGGCTGCAATGAAAGCACTAAGTGCATGTAAGATTACTTCGAGTCTTGTATTGCAATGCAGGGAGGCTCTGGATTGCCTCGCAGCGAGGCATCCGGTATCGTTAATATGGGTACCGGGGCACGCTGGGATAAGGGGCAATGAGACGGCGGACACTCTGGCGAAAACAGGATCAGCCAGCAAGCTCGTTGGTCCTGAGCCAGCTCTAGGAGTAACCGCGCATAAAGCTAGGAGGAAAATGGAGACGTGGGTTGCAAGACAACACTCTCAGAAATGGAGAAGTATCTCTAGACATCTCCGCCAGGCACGAGAGCTCATTGAAGGGCCCAGTGCTAAGGATGGACGCTTCTGCCTATCTCTGGGTAGAGCCAACCTAAGGTTGCTGGTGGGACTGTTGTCTGGCCATAACACGTTAAGGCGGCACCTGCACGTGATGGGGGTGGCTGAGGATCCCTTATGCGAACGCTGCGGAGTAGAGGAAGAGACCTCGGCGCACGTTTTGTGTCGCTGTGAAGCTCTGAGCTACTATAGGCAGACTATACTGGGGTCCATTACTTTGGACCCTCAGGACGTAAAGGAGCTTGGACTCAAGGCGATTCTCAACTTCGCTAAAAGGGCGAGGCTTGTGATTTAAGTATTGTAGAGGTGCATAAGGGCCCGCTTAAGCGGCCTATGCACTGGCTCCTTATGGTGGCCGGGATGCCTCTAAAATTCAAGATTCATTCAATTTGCAAGACCATTACATTTTATACATTTTTACATGCTATTAAAATGGTGCTTTTTATGTACAGTCGAAATATTATCATTTTCCCTTACAACAATATAATAATGTCTTTAATCATACCTAATAAAATTCATATAATTTAAAGCAGTATTTTTACATAGAATGTACGAAAAATATGAATAGTTTTGGGGCCTTAAAGCAGGACGTTGACTTTTTGTAAAATCAAATAATACAGCCACATCGTATGAAAAATGCAGAGAACATATAACATTTTACATCATTCTGTTTTGTCATCTTATTTTTGCAATATGCTCTATTTTTTTATATTTGGCTCTTAAAACTATATAAGTATACAAAATATTTAAACACTAAACTATTCATATAGTAACTGAACAGAGAAGAGATATATAGACATGACCCCCATACTAAGAAAAATAACTTCACCAAAAACAATAACTGTAAGGTTTTTTTAGAAAAGTATGCGGTGTCCGTCAGTATATCTTTAGTTACATTTGAAATAATAAAGAGGTAAATAAAAATGACGATAAATTTAGAGCGCCCAAAATATTTTTATCAAGATCTGGTGTATCATGTTTTTGTTTTTTGGATTGCAAATATCCAAAAGATACACTCAAGTTATAAAATTATACAGTGGATAAGCTTAGAATCTTGCTTTTGGGTATACATATTTTTGGGACGGCATAAGGCTATCTAAAGTAGTTATTTTTGTTAGAAACAATGGCGCTTTTCAATCATTTCCATTAGATCTGTCAAGTCTGAATGAGTTGTAAAAAGAGGTGATCCCTCAACCAAAACCTTATGCTGCGAGGTACCTTAGAACTAATATGATATACCTATACAATACCCTACTACCCTCTTAAAGATCAATATCAAGATGATGTTAACAGTTGTTCACATTATCTGAATATTTACTACAGATTCTACCTAACAAGTCCAGACTTCGAAAAACTCTCAGCATCTCGCTCTTTGCGAATTTGATTGGCTAATACAAGCACAATATATTTTGTTTTGTTCAAGGAGGTTCAGCATTGTTGCCAGATGGTCGATTCTTTCAGTGGGGCGGGAAATAAATTTGAAGCGATATCAAATGGGGGGACTATGGACTAATTGTATGAGCCACTTTAGCTGACTTGAGTCATTTAATTTTTTTGTTACGCATGTGCGTAACTACCCTTTTCCTCAGAGGGGCTAACTTTTGCCGAATCAACCTACTTAACGCCATTTTTACTTCCCCCGCCAGCAGGGAAGTATTGTAATCGCGAAAATGCAAATGAGATGTTGTTTTTCGAATGTTATATGACATGTATTTAGTTTTTTGACGTTTCAGACGATCCTGATCGTTTTCAGAAAAAAATTTGTCGTGTGTCGATACTTGCGACGTCGTCCCCCGACGGACAAGCGTGGTCATCGGTGGTCGTACGTCACAGTCGGCAACCGCTTCCACACTACTGCGGGCTGCGAAACATATGAGGCTTCATTTGGACAGAAAAACATGGAGTTCGAACGGGTAGGTTTTTTTTCGAGGTATAGAACTTTAAGTTGGCATTACTTGTGAAGATGGCGACCGATTTGACAGCTGTTAAGTGATTTATTCTCAATTTGGTTTGGCGATTCATCATGAATAGACTCACGCTTGAACAACGCTTGCAAATTGTGCAGTTTTATTTCTGTGCGGAATACGTATCGAGCACTACGTCCATTTTATCGTCGACAAAATCGTCCATCAGATTCTACCTAACAAGTCCAGACTTCGAAAAACTCTCAGCATCTCACTCTTTGTAAATTTGATTGGCTAATACAAGCACAATATAATTTGTTTTGTTCAAGGAGGTTCAGCATTGTTGCCAGATGGTCGATTCTTTCAGTGGGGCGGGAAAGAAATCAAATGGGGGGACTATGGACTAATTGTATGAGCCACTTTAGCTGACTTGAGCCATTTAATTTTTTTGTTATGCATGTGCGTAACTACCTTTTTCCTCAGAGGGGCTAACTTTTGCCGAATCAACCTACTTAACGCCATTTTTACTTCCCCCGCCAGCAGGGAAGTATTGTAATCGCGACAATTTTAGCAAATGAGATGTTATATGACATGTATTTAGTTTTTTGACGTTTCAGACGATCCTGATCATTGTCAGAAAAAAATTTGTCGTGTGTCGATACTTGCGACGTCGTCCCCCGACGGACAAGCGTCGTCGTCGGTGGTCGTACGTCACAGTCGCCAACCGCTTCCGCGAAACATATGAGGTTTCATTTGGACAGAAAAACATGGAGTTCTAACGGTTAGGTTTTTTTCGAGGTATAGAACTTTAAGTTGGCATTACTTGTGAAGATGGCGACCGATTTGACAGCTGTTAAGTGATTTATTCTCAGTTTGGTTTGGCAATTCATCATGAACAACGCTTGCAAATTGTGCAGTTTTATTTCTGTGCGGAATACGTATCGAGCACTACGTCCATTTAATCGTCGACAAAATCGTCCATCAGAGCAGTTAATTCGATTAACCATGGAACGTTTTCGCACCAGGTTTACTCTAATTGATAACTCGCATCCCCAAGGAACGCCGTTCGGTGCGTACAGAAGAAGCTATTGCTACTGTAGAGCGTAACATTGAGGAAGACCCGCCATCGAGCACAGGAATTGGATCTGTGTCCATCCACTTTATGGAAGATTTTGCGGAAGGATCTTGGTTTGCGTGCTTACAAAATCCAACTCGTGCAAGAATTGAAGCCAAACGATCATCAAGCAAGGCGTAGATTCGTTGAATGGGCCCAAAACGAGATTGCCGTTGTTCCCGATTTTAACATAAGCGAATTTTGTTTAGCGATGAAGCGCACTTCTGGTTGAATGGCTACGTCAACAAACAAAACTGCCGCATTTGGAGTGAAGCTAATCCTCAAGTCTATGTCGAAACACCGTTACATCCAGAAAAACTGACTGTTTGGTGCGCCAGAACGTTGCAGTCAATGGTGATCGGTATAGAGCCATGATTACTAACTTTTTCCTTCCTGAATTGAACAATCATGATGTCCAGGAGCTGTGGTTCCAACGAGACGGCGCAACATGTCACACAGCTCGTGCTACAATTGATTTATTGAAAGACGCGTTTGGTGACCGCCTAATTTCACGTTTTGAACCTGTGAATTGGCCTCCAAGATCTTGTGATTTAACACCGCTAGACTATTTTCTGTGGGGCTATGTAAAGACATTGGTCTATACGGATAAGCCACAAACGCTTGACCATTTGGAAGACAACATTCGCCATGTTATTGCCGATATACGGCCAAATGTTGGAAAAAGTCATCGAAAATTGGACGTCCAGATTAGACTACATCTGCCAGAAATCGTATTTAAAACGTAATGTCACAAGATTATCTTTCGACTAAATAAAATTCATGTCAATCGAATAATCCATCGTTGTTTTATTGCAATTTAAAGTTCTATACCTCTAAAAGAAAACATCCTTTACTATATTAGGGTATCTTGTAAAACAAACATAAACAGGACTTGTTAGGAAAAACCTCGCATAACCCCCTACAACAACTAAAGCGTACTTAAACAACTTTTGACGTGCGCGTTAAGCGCCCCCTTGGAAATGCATCCGGTCTCGCAGTGTGGGCACTTGTAAGGCCTCTCCCCAGTATGACTGCGCATATGGATCCTCAGTGGCGCGCCCTGGTTGAAACTCTTGCCGCAGTAATCGCACACATACGGCTTTTCGCCGTTATGGATTCTCTCGTGCATAATCAAGTAGTCGCGCTTGATGAAACTCTTGCTACAGTACACGCACGAATAGGGCTTCTCCCCGGTGTGCTTCCTGTAGTGGATCTTCAGCTTGTCAGTGCGCGAGAAACCCTGGCCGCAAACGTCGCACAGGTGCTTCTTCTCGTGAGGGCCTTCGTGGTAGGTCAGGTGCTTGTTCAACATGTGCTTTACCAGAGTTTCGCTCCTGGCGAAGATCTTCGTGCACATGTGGCACTGCGTTTTCGAATCTTTGTCGAGCACTCTGACTCTGTGGTTACGAATCTGGTGGGCGATGAGGTATCTGGAGTAAATAAACTCCCTGCTGCACACGACGCAGATGAACGGTTTGATGCCAAGATGGAAGTTTTCGTGTTCCTTGAACGTGGTGGCGTCGTTGAAGCACTTGCCGCACATCCTGCATTGAAAATCGTACTTCCGGAAGTGCAAGCGCGAGATGTGTGTCAACATGGCGGATTTCCGGCTGGTGATATGCGTGCAAAGGGGACAAGGGAAATTGTTGTCCTCTCTGTGTTGCTGCATGTGACAGGAGAAGTTAAGCGCCCCCTTGACTGTTTCACTACAAACTTCGCAATCGTATTTCTCTTCGTGAGTCTCGATATGTTTCTCTACTTCTTCCTTGTCTTGAAACTCGGCGGAACACGTGTTGCATGTATAGAATTCGTGGACTTCGTCGAAGGAATATTTATCGAAGCTGTCAGCCTCAAGCTGCATGGTTTCCGATTCCTCGTGCATCGTTCTTCTGTGGTACTCAAGGTTCTTCCGGGTATCAAACTCCTCGAAGCACAGCTTGCAGCACCAGCTTCTTGCTTTTTGATTTGGCTTTACGCGCAATGCCTGATTTTTGATGGCTGCTTTTCTGGCCGGACGCTTTTCTTTTGGTTCTTTTTTCTCTTTAGGTTCCTTTTTTACAATTACTTTCCTTTGCCTGGTTCTCAATTTGGTTTTTAGTTTTTTGGTAGGCGGTTTCCAATCTAGTTCAGAATCGTATTTCTCTTCATCTACGTCATCTTCAATATCGTCCCTAAAAATAACTATAGTTATCTACTTTGTTACGTACAAGAAAGATGCAGGGAAATTTTACGTGTTTTTCATCAGCTTCTGATGAAAATACTTACCCCATAATTCATAAACCGACATTTTACAGGTAAAAAATAAAACATTCAAAAATAAATATATTTTTTTAATGTAACAACAAACAAAAATAGTTGATTGCATATTTACAAATACGTTTGTACAGCTATACATATTGTAGGAATAAATTTTGTTTATACTATCAGTTCAAATATTACAATATTTTGAGTGACAAATTCTGGAAGACTAAAATGAAATTATAAATATTTTAATATCTCAATGTAAATACCCTACCAATTAAAAAAAAACTCTCCGTAAAAGATCCTTATTAAATTTTTTAGAAGCCCATACCCGTTTTACATTAGCAATAAAGTGTAAAGTGTGAAGTTCTTCGTGGATTTCTTCACGAAATTACTTGGTGCCAACCTTGTTTTCCTTTCCATTATATCGTTTCAAGTATAGAACTTTGGTAGAGCTTCAGTATTCAAAAATACAGTTTCTGTTTATAAGATTCGTCTCAAAATCAAGACAACAAAACACATAAGAACTCAAAATGTTTCTAGCAAGAATACGTTGTGTGGTTGGCAGCACTGTGTCCATGAATGTGTCAATTCATGTAAACACCGCAATGCATAATCGGGATGACCTTGAAGAAATTCAAACAAACATTGCACGAAAAAAAATGTTTTCACACCTACTAGCACAGACGACGTCAACTATGAGCCGTGACGAAAAAAGGCAACACCGCGCTCGGAAGGACTGGCAGTGCTACTTGCGTACGTTGCGTTGTATATGAAATAGCTAATTCCGGCCACAGACTCAAGTTAAAGAAAATTCACTGTATAGAAAGTCAGACTGAACGCTGAGCAATGTTAACAGATAAAATAACTTTTTGATCAGTACTTCTCAAAAAAAAAATGTAATATACAGGGTGTCCGCAAAGTTGGGGTTTTCCTTTACACGACGTGTAGATCTTGAAAACATAAGCAATTTTTCTTAGTACCATATACACCAATGTCTTAAGGGAACCGAGATAAAGGGCTCTGCAACATCAGAAATATCTGAATACCGTCCTGTAGCCGCGACATCCCCCAGTGGTACTAGGACACTAGCCCAACCCGACGACATGACTGGGTCGGGGTCAGTGTGTCAGGTCAGTATGCAACCTTCAACCGACGGTTACGGTCACGCGTGTAGAGGTAATCGCGTAGACGAGAATCCCTCAACAAGCACTAGAGACGTGGCTAGAGAAGTGCAAGTATCAAAAACTAAAGTGTGGCAAACGCTGCGTGAAGAGGGGCTGTATCCGTTTCACGTCCAACGTGTACAAGCCCTTCAACCTGACGATTTTCCAGCAATAGTGCGGTTTTGTGAGTGGTTGTTGCATCAACATGACAATAATCCGGACTTTTTGAAGTGCATATTGGTGACAGACGAATCTACGTTCACGCATAATGGGGTGAATAACTTTCGCAACACTCATGTTTGGTCAGTAGAAAATCCGCACGCTGTCCGTCGGGCACATTTTCAACAAACATTTTCGGTGATTGTTTGGGCTGGCATGGTGAACGGTATGCTCATTGGACCATTTATTCTCCCAAATCGATTGGACGGGATGCAATACCTAGACTTTTTACGCAACATTTTGCCTTCCTTGTTTGCCTGCGTCTGCTCGGTAGCGCATCAGATGATTTCATTTTCTGTTGGAGCGGTATGATTTCGGGCAGAGACGTACTTAGCCCTTCTCGTCAACTGGAGAGTGACTACTTTTTCCTTTATTTTTTTTTACTTGGTCGCCCTCGTTTCACTACACATTACCTTTGTTATTTCAAGGGTAGTTGTTTCTGAAAAGGAAAACCCCAACTTTGCGGATATCTATATATACAGGGTAAGCAAAGGAAGTCATGTTTTTTTAGCAAAATTTGGGACTATGTCAGAATCTTAATTTTTGATCTTGGAAATTTTCCTATGCATCATTTTGATCTTTAGACTATCCTAAAAAAGTGGTATCTCAAATTTTTCTAAAGTTGGCTATAACTCAAATTATCGAATTTTGAAATTCTCGCAATAATGTTTTTCGGCCTGACCGTATTTTTTTGGATTACCATCTCGATGCAAATAGGACGTTTCTCTGGTTTCATCCTGACTACCTACACCTCAAACATGCAATTGCTAAGTAACGATAATATTGTCGGTAGGTTTGACAGTAAAATTTTATTTGGTACTGTTGCGTCTTGTAGAACTTCGGATTTCACTGTTTTTTCACTTGAAACTTATAGAGCTTAGTCTGACAAATTATTTTACATCATAAAAAGTGTGGATGAAGCAGGCTTTTCATGAAATTTTTTTTAGCAGCTGTAGTCATATAACAGCAAAAAAAAACAGAGTTTCAGCGATGCATGATTGGCAGAGCCGTCTCGGAGTTAAGACATGATGCAAAGCTAGACGTCACTTTCATCATACTATAGGAGTCATGGTTTGAGGTTCCACTACAAAATATGGTCACCTCTAGTTTCCATTAGAAAAGGTATACTGCCGTCATAAGCCAAAAGATAATATTTGCTAATTTGTGTTGTACGTGTTGTAATCCTTCTCAAATTGTAACGTTTTAAGGAGAAAGAATGCTTTTGGTTTGTACCTGGTTAAAATTGCTAATACTTTTTAAAGAATTACAAATGAAGGGTACAGGGGGAAAAAGATTAATGTCACAAATTTGGTGTTTTGTAGTTAGAACAAAACAGATGAATGTAACAGCCGATGTATGAAAAAAGATGATTTATTGTCACACTAGCAAGGTAGGGTTAGAGCAGTGTTACCAGATCTACCGATTTTGGTTCTGGTCTACCAAACTACCGATTTTAAAGCAAAATCTACCGAAAAGTGGACTTTTCTTTCAATTGAATAATTTTTGTTCCCTATATAAGATAAATATACTAAGTGACATATAAATCCGAACACCCAGTTTAAATGATTTTATTTTAATAAAAGTTGGTGAATGTATTTATCTTACTGTAAATAACAAGTGAAAAAATTTTCAGCCTTATCAGTTGGACATTCCGGTTTTTATACTGCTTTTTTTTAATTCACTAACGCTCTAAAAATGAATATTTCAACCGCAGTAAAGAATCAACGTTGGCGGATTTTGGTTCTTGACATCCTTTACGATCGGTTACGATGCCTAGAGTACGGAGACCTTTACGATTTCGTCAACTTAGTGAGTTTGATAGGGGCCGTATAGTGGGACTTCGGGAAGCTGGACTTTCTTTTCGGGCAATTGCAGTTAGAGTGCAAAGAAGTGTAGACACTGTGGTTAGGTGTTGTCAGGCATGGCTTCGAGAAGGCCGTACGCAAAGAGCAAGGGGCACTGGACGCCGCCGTAGAACAACAGACCGTGAAGATCGCCGCCTAAGATTATTGGTCTTAAGGGACCGTTTCTCCACTACCAGGTCCATTGGAAATGAATGGTTTGCAGAACACGGAAGACCTATTGGCATGCGAAGTGTTTACCGACGAATGAGAAGTTTTGGCTTGTTTTCATACCGGCCACACTGGGTCCTCCCTTTAACTCGAGAACACCGACGTAATCGCCTTGAGTGGTGCAGACAACGGTCACTCTGGGATCAGGAATGGAACAGTATTGTCTTTAGTGACGAGTCTCGATTTTGTTTAGGCATGCACGATGGTCGTGCCAGGGTTAGAAGGCGACGTGGTGAAAGGAGGAATCCACAGTTTTTTGTTGAAAGACATGTTCATCACATTGTTAGAGTTATGGTTTGGGGTGGTATAGCTTATGGTTCCAGGTCACCTTTAATCTTCATCAGAGGTAACATGAACGCGCAGCGTTATATCCACGAAGTTCTAGCACCCCCTCTTTTACCCTATCCTGACACCCTGGCAGATCCAACTTTCCAACAAGATAATGCCCGACCACATGTTGCAAGAGTCACAATAGACTTCTTTCAACATAATGATGTCACATTGTTACCATGGCCACCAAGATCTCCCGACTTATCCCCAATTGAGCACGTGTGGGATATGATGGGTAGGAGATTTCTCAATTTGCAACGTCCTCCTCAGACTCTAGAAGCACTTCGAGAGGAGTTGGTGGTTGCCTGGAATGAGATACCACAGGAGGACATTGACCACCTGATCAGAAGCATGCCTAGGCGCGTTGGAGAATGCGTAGCACATCAGGGTGCATCCACACATTATTAAAGGTCAAAGGGCTTTAAAGCAGTGCAATCATTTTCAAATTTTTATCATTTACTTATTATGCTTCATTAAGTACTTATACAAAATTTTATTAAAATAAAACCATTTAAACTGGGTGTTCGGATTTATATGTCACTTAGTATATTAAAAAAGGTAAAATTAGTTAATCTATTTGAGAAGATTTCAGATTATATAGATTATATATAGAACATAATTTGCCATTCCTGCTGATGGACCATTTGGCAAAGCAAAATTAGCAGATAATATGACTGATAAAAACTTATAAAAAAATGAATCCGAAGAATGATTATCCAATATAGCTTACACATTTTTTATTTTATACACTTTTTCTGTTTTTTTATTAAGAATATTTTATTTTTAGTTAGCTAAAGTGAGATATAAACTGTTTATTTTTATTTTGTCTTTCTATTTTGAGTTAAATAAAATTGTTTTAAGTAAATGCCATACAATTCTACCGAAATATCGTCGATTCCACCTGGCAACACTGGGTTGCATAGTCGTTCCACAGTCCAGTAGAGGGCGCGACAGCAGTACACTGGTTATAAGCTAGGCAAATTAGCTCTAAACACGTGTTGACCATAAAAGAATCAGGGTACACGATAGTCAAGTAAATTGAATATTTACTAGATTTTTATTGAGTGTAAGAGAGAGCATTCCGTGATTTTATTCCTTTTCAAATAATTTATTAAGCAGAATTTTGTACAGGGAAGAGCAAAAGCCAATGATCTAGTTTGACTGGCATATAAAGAGAAAATATAGGTTTCTGTTGTTGATGGATTAAAAATATATCCTCATAGGTTCTTGAATCAAAACGAGGTGATATATGAAGCATTTCTGGAGCTGGTATGAGAATTAGGGGTCCATCTTACACAAATCTATAATTTTTCTATAGTCTCAGAGTCATTTTACGAAAAATCGGCAAAATTAATCACTTCAAAAACGCCTTCTGATTGGTTGACTTTGTGCCATAGGTGCAAATTTTGATTCCAATCGGGCGTTAGAGAATCCATTCCAGCTTTTGAAATCACTTTTCGATTTTCTGTACGATGATTGGTTCCAGAGATATCGAAACCAGATAGGTCCTTTTATTTTTTTTAATTAAAGCTGACTAAAGAGCTTGGGTACATGTGATAGTTTAGTGGAAAAATATTTTTCCATACTCGTCGACCAAAAAAATTTTTTTTTCTTCACCTGTCACTGAAAGTCTCAAAAAGTAGACATTTGAAGCCTTAGAACCTTTCTCTTAGAACCTAAATACGACCATTTGTACCAAGATACATTTGAAAAAATCACAAAAAATATAATTTTTATTTGAAACCTTAATTTTTTTTCAATGATCAAATGAACAACGTATGTCCTGAAAGTTTTGGTACAAAATTCATTGGCCTTAATTTTAACAAACACAAAATAATATTAAATTGGCTTTGCAAACAAAATTTTGTTTACTTATTCTACTGGCAGTTGACATTTATTTATTTTGAAGTTTTCGCTTTAATATGTCGATAAGACGATTTAATAGTTGATGACGGTAACGCATTCTACGACTGACAAAGAGCAAAAACCAAGTCTTTCGTATTAAATTCTTTTAAAGATTTTTCTATTGGTTGGTCTCTTGATACGGCTCTCAGAAGTAGGTTTTTCTTATAGTCTTGCTTGACAAACTGAGTGATATTCTGGTCCATTGGTTGAATCAGTGCAGTGCAATTTGGCGGAAGAAACATCGCAGTGATGCATTTATCATCAGTTGTTAGTTCTTTTTCAGACGGATGACCGGGAGCGTTATCAAGAAGCAACAACGCTTTTTGAGGAAAATTATGATCTTTTATCCATGTTCTAACTTCAGGTACGAAGCATTCCTCAAACCATTTTTGGAAAAGGTCTTTTGTCATCCATGCAATTTTTTGTCCGTAATAGTGTACAGGTAAATCAATGTTTTTTAATGGCCGTGGTTTATTAGATTTCCCAATGACCATCATCTTAAGCGCGTGTGTGCCCGCAGCGTTAGTACATGGTAGTATGTTTACACGCTCTTTACTTACTTTTCGTCCAGGTACGGATTTTTCGTTACAAGAAACGAAAGTTTTGTTAGGCATCACACGCCAAAAAAGCCCTGATTCGTCTGCATTGTACACCTGTGACGGGTCAAGATTTAAATCGTTCACCTTTTGCAAAAATCTTAATTTAAAGGGCCCTATGCAGGTGGCATCGTTAGAAAGTTTCTCTCCTGTAATAGTCATTAAACGTATGCCATGACGACTTAAAACGTTCTAGCCATCCTTGGTCGCCACAAAATCATATTTTTTTGTTATTTCCTTATAAAAAAACTTAGCTTTCATGGCCAACATGGGTCCTGAAATTGGTGCATGCCTATTTCTTTCCTGAAGAAACCACATGTACAAAGCTTCTACCACTTCTGGATGCGATTTAAGCGGTCTAAAATATCAAATTTTTCTTTAATTGTCAATGTTTTGTGCTTTCGCTTCTGAGTTTGTGATGACAATACTAGGTACTATACTTAATACGCAATGAATAAATAGTAAACAATGAAGGCACGCTAGGCCGTACCGCTATCACCAGTAGTCAAATTCAAACTAAGCAAAACAATGCTTACGCGTCGAGCACGATAGCGGTAGTGCGTGCAAGTTGTAACCTGTTCAACAAATTGTCAAATACGCAGTGGCGGCTCGTGAGGTAGTGCCACGGTGCCATGGCACTACCTTGTCTTCTTCAAAAAGAATATTTTTTTCAATCTTCAATGTTTTACTTTATTTTCTGCTTTTTCATTTTTTTTTTTTTTGGTATAAATTATATGAAGTGACAACACTGACAACGTGACAACACCGCAAGCACTCGAACCACGCGAGACGGAAAGCACGCCTTGACCTTGACGTCATCAACTTGTGCCAATTTTGGGCCGGCCCAAATAAAAAGAGAGAAATTTTACTAGCATCGCATACGAGCGACAGAGATAACGCTACCCTACACATTTTTATATGAGGTGAATAGCGAAAGACAAGTATAATTTGTGCCAGGCACATCATCAGTCGTAATTCGTTATCAAGTGATATCGGCGGTGTTTTTGTTCGGTCGGTCGTTTCGTTATGATTACGTCTAGTGCTGATTTCGGTCTTTTTTTACCTGAAAAGTGAAAAATACCTTTTTTGTTTTAGTACGTCTAGTGTTAATGAACTACTCTGTTTTGTGATCATATTTTTTACTGTTTTATTAAAACTAGTGAAAATGAATAAAATCGGGATATTAAAAAACTCATTTAGTGTTTTTTCACTGGATCAAAAACTGCAAATTAAAGAATTAGGACGGCCAATACCCGATTTAAAAATTGAGAAACAAAGTGGTAGCGGACAAAAATCGCGCTGTCGCAAATTTAATAAAAATGTGTACGATAAAAACAGCTGGATATGTGGTTGTGAAGAAACGAATAAACTTTCTGTTTATAAACATCAGTTTCCTGAAGCACATTTAAATGACACATGCACACAATTTTCATTTTTAGACAAAAACAGGCTTAAAACTGAGTTACAAGTATTATATCAGAGAGAAGAATTGAGTACTACTTCTGGAGCTGTTCCACTATCCATTTTATTGAACGAGGAAGGATTAAATTGTACGTTTCAAGAAACTCTTAAGCTCTTAAGTATTTTAATCACTATACCGATGTCAACATCTGAAGCAGAACGCTCTTTTTCAATGCTGAAACGGATTAAAACTTTCCTCAGAAACACAATGAAGGAAGAAAGGCTTAGTGCTTTAGGAATGCTGTCTGCAGAAAAACATTTTGTTAGTGGCATTGAAAATTTTAATAATAAGGTAATCGAAAACTTTGCTACCAAAAAAGAAAGAAGAATGGACTTCATGTATAGAAAACTTTGAAGTTATAGGTACTTCTCCACACTTGTTTTATAATTTGGTGCGCGTGTGTAAATAGTTTTATTTTTGATTTTTTTTTGGACATATAGATTTATTGAACCTCAAGAACTTTGACCACTAACTATCAGGGGTAAGTTATAAGTTATTCTTTACAATTTTGAATCGATTCAAAATTATGGCTTCCATTCTGGCACTACCTCACTGAATTGGCACGAGCCGCCACTGCAAATACGTATGTATGTAATACATATTCAAAGATATCTCGGATTACAGGGGGTGCCGGATTATCGGGGGTCCACTGTACTTCTTTGGCAGCATATTCAGTAATGATTTTCTCACACAGCAAATATCACAGATTTTATACACATGCAGACCAATACACATAATCATCCAGATGCGAACTTGCTATTCAACCAACTCTCTTCTCAGGGATAAAAACTGCAGACAAGGACCATTTGGCCTCACAAAACATACGCAACCAATAATGCATGTAGTTTAGTTGAGTGATTCCTCCCTAGATGGACGTTCACAACGATCCTAGTGAGCAAACGTGGAATGACGTTTGCACCCTAAAAACTACTTAGTTTGCAAGATGACATCTTATAGGTTTTTTTCGATGTCTTATAGGTGTTTTACATGATACCCATGCAGGTACAAAACTTTTGTAACGTGAAATTTATTGAAATATAAAAAATGGCGTTTGGACTTTGAACAATTTTTTCATTCAACAAATCATTCCCATTTGTACAAATTTTCGATATCCATCTCGCTTATATCGATATCATCGTTGATTCCGAAATCATCTACCGTCTTCCGCTTTTCGTGCCCCAGCATATGTTTTTTGTAATACTTGTAAGCCGTAAAGGCTTTACCGCACGTATCGCAGCAGTATCTCTTTTCGCCCGTATGGGTCCTCATATGCATTTTGAGGTTATAGTTGTTAGCGATCACTTTCCCGCACATTGGACACTGCACCGTCCTGTCTTCGCCGATCTTGTGAATCACGCTCAAATGTCGTATCAGACTCTTCTCGAAAGAAAATTCCTTTCTGCACACGTGGCATTTATACAGCTGTTCCACGCCGAATATCTCTTTTTTGTGGTTGAATTTTTTGTGGGTGTCCAGGTATCGTTTGACCGCGAATTTTTTGTTGCAAAACTCGCACTGATATTGCTTGATGTCCAGATGTATCTCCTCGTGGACTTGTAACATCGCTTTCGCTACGAAACCTTTGCCGCAAATGCTGCAGTGAAAATCGTACGCTTTTTGGTGCCGTTTTATGTGACCTCGGACGGATGCTCTGGATTTTGTGTTATATTCGCATACGGGGCAACAGTATGTACCGATATGTTGATACAGGTGGAACGAGTACTTGTACGGGGTATTGAATGTCTGCGAGCAACATTCGCATTGGTAATTTTCGCCTGAATGTTCTAATTGATGTTTTTCGAGATTCTCGTCAGTAGTAAACTGGACTTTACAAATGTCACACCTACGATTTTCATGATCGGCTTTATGTTGGCTTATTTCCGAATGGGGTATGAGCTTGCCGCATATATCGCAAAGTTCGATCGCGCCAACAGATCGTTTAGGTGATTTTTTCGACCGTCTTCTTTTGTTTTGCTTTTCCTGGATGTCTATGATCTCAACATGCTCCGGGTAACTCCGTGCGGCGTCTAAGGTAACTATGTAATCATCCGGGTCGACTGTGGCAGGTAGGCTGTAAATATTGTCATCATCTATAACGTCTATGACGATTTCCTCAAAGATATCTGATACATTCCTGAAACGGAGCATTGTTAATAAGACGCAATAAATATTTTCGTGGCATCTGAAGTGAGTGTTATAAGAAAATTGAAAAGCGGTTCCTTCACGATTTTTTTTATTAATACACAAAAAGGCATAACAAAAAAGGGGAATCATGTAAAAATTCAACTAGTAAAACAGAGACACAGTAAGTCGTCGTGCAAAGAATATGTCGCGCACAAAATATTCACATATTTAGAACTATACTATGAAGTACTATAATCTAGTTATACAGTGTTTTTCAAAAGGATCCCTCAACTCATTTTTTCAGAATCAGGTATCACACGATACCACATGGTTACGTCAAAAGATATACTATTCAGGCATCAAAATTTCAGCTGGCGAACTTGACCTGCTAAAGAAATAAATGGGTAGGAACTTTTTGAAAAGCACTGTATATCTGGTAAATCTTTTCATATAATGAATCATTTTTTGATTATACGATTAAAGTGTTTGTACTCTTATACGACCGCTAATTTTGTTTCTAATAAGATACAGCTAGGTACTAATATTAATTTAGAAAAACATACTATCGACAAAGAGTACACTTTAGTATCGTTTTGAAGCTTCAGAAAAATGTCATCCTTCTTAACAAACATTTTATGATTTAGTAGAATAATATTTACAGATATGCTGCTCATTATATCATAAATATCCTAAGCCGTTTTTACATTTTGATCTGCATTTTTGTAAATTTGTTTTTGCATAATTTAAATCCTAAGTTTTGGAAGGACATGCTTTTAGAATTACTCCACAGTACTTGAGAATACGTTTCAGTCATAGTAAAAAATTAAATTCGGAAACTGGCAATCTTCTATAAATTAATCGATACCTTCCAAAACAAGTTCTACTACACGTATAAAATTTGATAAAATAAATTAGGAACAAACAGTACTATCACACAAAATTTGAATCAAAACTATAAGTATGAAAGTCAAATATATACCTAACACAAAATGTGGCCAGCATAAATACCAAATTTGTATACCTTATCGAGATATACAGGGTGTTCCAAAAGTGTCCGACCACCCTCTATATCTAAGGAAATACTGGTCAAACAAAAAATGTCCAAGACAACAGTTTCAGAAGAGCCACCTAATGGTAGTGACCTTGAAAGACTGTTCATATTATCTTCAAGGTCGTTTGAGGGTCAACTCTAAAATTTTAAATAGAGCTGTATTTTTTGGCTCCATTAATATCAGCGAAAAATTTTACGTTCAGAAATGACATTTCCCTTGACCATAACATTCAAGGTTATTTAGAAGTCAAATTGATAAATTATTGTAAGTAATGGTGGGTTTTTGATCCCGCATCTCGAAGTTGACCGACCAAGGTCATAACTTCTAAGTGATTTTGCCGTTAACTTATAAAAATAAGCTGTGCTTTCCACCTGCGGACCATAAATTATGACTCGATTTTAAATTTTCAAGCTGACCTCCAAATGTCCTTGAAGCTCAAGGACATTTCCGAATATATTTTTTTCGCTCTATCCATCGATGGGGTCAAACAGATAAAAAATTTCAAGCTGACAACTCATTGACTTAGGCCCATATCGTCAGTCGTCCCTACAATTGTAGGGCGCCTTTATGGCCTCCTTGATTGTCATAGTTTTATACTTCTCCGTGTCAGAACTCTATTTTGAGGTTATGTCACAAACATCTATTTGCATCAAATTGTGCTTGCTTTTGAGTTATATCATGTTTTATCAGCCTGAAATTTCCTAAAATTTAAAAAGAAAACATATCTTCACAATAGGACAGCGCTGACGCTGATACGGGACAAGTGTAATCTAGAAATTTTTGAAGGAGAGAAAGCAGTATGACAATCAAGGAGGCCATAAACGACTGACGATACGGGCCTTAGAAGGTCATTTTTAAGGTCATGATAAATGTCGCCATCTCAAAACACTGCAAATTTTATCCTGTACATTTTTTGAGTAGTATTTTTTTAAACATATATTTCTCTTTACCCTACACCCCAGTATATTTCGATTATTAATTTTCGTGAGTATCTTGAAATATGGAAGCAAAGTATATATATCGATGTACTTCAAACTGAAATAGTAGATCCAGCTATAAAACACGGACCCGAAAAAAGGTCCTAGATAAGTGGTACAGCTGCAGCTGAGTCCTGGCATCATTGAACCATTGAAATATTCGTTTTAATAGTTTTACGTGAATGCTACAGTCGCGATACAGTTGGTACACCACAGCTCAGTTTTTATGCTTTGATGTAATCACTTATCCAGTAACCACTCTACTTAGTTTAGTAGTACATTAAAAAGAATATATTGCACGAGAAATCAATATATCTGGCAACGTTCTTTGGTATAACCGTGGTAACCATTAATGGGATTTGCAATTTTCAAGATAGTCACTTTGATCAATCAAGATACAGGGAAAACCAAATTTGTCTGACGGCTCGAGTTCAACGTGTACGAGAGAAGCGCATCATCACATTGCCTAGCGAGGGTGACGCAGAAGGTCTTGCAATCTGCCGCGTTGCTAATATGTTACACCCGAAGAGGTTAGGTTACTATCAAACCCAAGGAGGTCCGTTTCAACATTTACTTTAATATTTTGTTTTCATTTTGATTCGTTATTTATTTCAATTTCGAAGCGTCACCGATGGTGATAAAGGCAACACATCCTGAGTTATTGTTACTTTTTGCGACAGCACTGCGGTCTGAAAATGTAACAAATAACGTTGCGCAATACAAATTATCACTGCCTGCATGTACGCAGGTGAAAACCATTTGATTGGTTTGAAACAGATCCAGCACAATTCAAAAATGTGTACGCTTAAAATAAAATTGTCGCGTTGCTAGGCAACGCGATGATGAGCTTCGCTATCCAGTCGCTATCTCTTTCTAGCGCATGTTTCTATACACATGTCTCTCTCATACACATTGAACTCAAGGTGTCAGGCAAATTTGGTTCTCAGTGTATACATCTTCATCAGGATTTCTATGATATAGGATATGCCACATTGCTGAAACTGAGTCATAGTTGGTATTATATTTCGCAACAATGCTTACAGGTGATAATATTTATCATACAATAATAACGTGTTTATTTCGTATTTGTTACAGAGATCATACCCTTTATCACTTGTTGTGAAATACACTACTTTAAATAATACGTATAGTCATCAAAAACTATTATTTAATTGGTATACATATATTGCATCTTTATAAAAATCGAATAAATAAGGTAACAAAGGAACATCTACAAAACAACAAAATGGCACGAACTACTGGCTACATATAAAGTATAATTTGATAGGCTTTGGTAATCATTATATTCAATACATAATTTTATCAATACCTAAATACAGCTACACTATATAGGATGCAACAAAGTTAGGTGTTCATATACCAAGGATGCCTTTATGGCCTCCTTGATGTGCATAGTATTTCCTCTCCTTCAGAAAAGCTGGGATATTTCTAGGTTTCTACTGTTCCGTGTCAGCGTCAGCGCTCTCCCATAGTGAGGTTATGTTTTATTTTTGAACCTTAACAAATTTCAGATGATATAAATTATAATTCAAGTTTCATTAGCCTGAGATTTCATAGAATTCAAAAAGAAAATATAACCTCAAAATAGAGCGCGGACACGAAACAGTAAGATTCTAGAAATACATCATTCTGTTTTTCTGAGGATAGGAAAAACTAGGAAAAAAAGGAGGCCAACTAAAAAATTTTCATCAAAAACGTTTTTTATGTTTCCTCATGTCCCAAGGCCTTTTTGGAAAATGATGGCATGACTATCTTCAATTACATATTGGAACCTCTAAGGAGTCTACTAAATTTGTTACAAACTATAAAAAACTCACTATAAATTAAGGAACAATTGCACAAAACATGAAACATTTAAAATTCATCTCTATATAGGCAATGCTGGAGGCAATTCAGCGGGAGCTGAAAAATCTTGTCTTGCAAAAACAAGATTTTTACACGACTTAGGTTCAGCGCTAGTCTGACTGGGCGTCAGGAAATCTTCCCTCGTGAAAATGACACCTTTGCAAGTCTTCAAATGAATGTTCAGCATAGCTTTGGCCACAAACCCCTTCGTACAAAACTGGCATACGTAGGGTCTCTCACCAGTATGGCCGCGCATATGAATGACTAGGCTGGATCTTTGAGAAAATCCTTTGGTACAGTAATCACAAATGTAAGGCCTCTCGCCAGTATGAATTCTTATATGTTCGACTAGGATGGGTTTCTTTGTGAATGACTTTTCACAATAAGTACAATTGTACGGCTTGTATCCAGTATGTGTCCTGATGTGAAACTTCAGCTTTTCTTTGCTAGACAGAATTTTACCGCATATATCGCAGATCGAGAAATTTCCAGTGTGCAGATTCATGTGTAGCTTGAGACTATTTTTATGTTGGTACTGTTTCTTGCAGATGACGCACTCGTGTAGATGAGGGAAATTAATATCTTCTTTATGCATGTATAGTTTGTGAGCGTGCAAGTATCGAGAGTACAAAAAACACTTGCCACAGAACTCGCAATCGAACGGTTTCAAGCCGGTGTGGTAGTTATCATGCTCTTGAAACCAAGAAAGTATCTGGAATCCTTTTTTGCAAGTGCTGCACCAATACTTCAACACGTCTTCATGATTGTTCACATGTTCCGTAATAAAATTTATATCTGGAGTGCTGAAATTACACATCAAACACTGGAACAGTCCGATGTCTGAATGGATTCTCATGTGAATTATATGTTCCAAGATTTTCTTCTGCGAACCATTACATATTTCACAGTAATAGTAGGTGCTGTGGGTTTCCATATGTTCTCGAACAGCGTTGGCTGTTCTGAACTCTTTTCCACACACATCACATGGATATACCTCACTGGAAAATCGGGACTGTCGCAGCCTTTTGCCTGGATGTTTGTCTCTATAATGTTGCTTCAGTTCTAATGGGGTGCGCTCTGTGAAATCGTTATTATCTTTATTACATAATGGACATTTAAATTTTTTTGGTTCACCAGAGTCAGGGGACATAGGTTTGACATCTACTTGAGATAATGGAAGAATCATTGGTAAGTCCTCAGATGGTTCTTCTTTGATTTCGCTCTTTATTTCAACATCTATCTGTTCAGGCTTGATGACTGTATCAGATACTGTATCTTTTTTATCAGCTTTTTTTCTAGACTTAGTTACCTTACCTTTTCCTTTCTTTTGTCTCTTTTCCTTTTTCTTCCTCTGTTTACCTTCGGCAACCCAATCTGCATCACTGTTATCTTTCTTGGAATTCTTCTTTGGTCTACCTCTCTTACGTTTAACTATTTCCCCTGACATTTCACCACCTTCTTTCCCCTCAATTTTTATTTTTATTTTCTTTATCTTTGGTGATTCAGACATTTGCGATGGTACTTCATTAATGGTCACTATGGGCGTAAAATAATCCAATGGAAATCTGAAAATAATTATGAGAACATATAAAAGCAGATATGTACTGCTTGCTAGTAAAATTAGGCCTTTATCATGAACAAAAAAATAATAAAAAACATGGAACTTACCTTCATGATATATTGTTTGTATATTCTACAAATGCTAAAAAGTTAAAACTGGCATAATAACTCGACTATAAATTCAAAATTTTAAAATTTTCCGCGTATGCGTAGCTCCAACCAGTTTGAAGTCACTTGGAAAAACTCACGTCACTTGTCAAACAATTCAGTTATTTCAAAGAATTTTGATTTCACATAGTATAATAGAAACTTCAAAAAACAACCTATACAGGGTGTTTTGGATTATCGAACATGTAGTGATGGTGCAATGTCATGCGAATATTCCAGACCAAAATAATTAAAATCAACATTGACGAATTGCATGAAAACTTAACGAAAAAATATAAAATTAATGGCCTAATTTTACAGATCGTGCAGTAATGGAAATTCATAGACACTTTTTCTTATCGACTACTTTTATGTTAAACGCGTACAGTAATCCTTGTGCGAAATCTGTTCACGAATTGTTTTTGCGCGTATGTGTTGCGAAAAGACATGCAGATACTATTTATTACATGAATAATAACAATTGCATTATAATTCGGTATTTACCCGAAAATTATAGAGTATACTCACTCTCTGTCCTCCATTCCGCTCATTTTTATTCTTCCGATATTTCTTGTCCGACAGTTCTTAGCGACTACCCCTCGTTTTCCGCACACTTCTCGTATGAATGCATTATTTTAGACATCACGACAACAAACAACACAACACCCTGTGTATCGCCATTTTGGAACGCATCACTTTTGCAGCACTTGCGCGAACGTGGCCAAAGAGCAAATGAAAACGCGAGATGCGTACGCATACCAATCATGTTATTCGTTAATCGGTATTCGTTATGACCAAACAAAAACTCATGAAGTATAAAAAACATGAACAAAACAAGTCGAAGACGAAAGAACATAAAATTAGAACAAACATTTTGTTTAATACTATAATACACTAATACGTTTGTAAAGTTATTTTTGATCCTAGGATAGCAGACAATGCGTTAATGTAATCATGATCTCATGATATGTTATTTAGGGTCGTATCGTCAGTCGTTCCTACAATTGATTGTAGAAAGCCTTTATGGCTCCCTTGATTTTCATAGTTTACTATTGTTCCTCTATTTTGAGGTTATGTTATATCTATTTGCATCAAATTGTTCATGATTTTGATTTACACAATCTCTAATGGCACAATAGGAGAGCTCTGACGCTGATAGGAAACAGTACAAATCTAGAAATACCCCAGCCCAGCCTTTCTGGAGAGACACGGCTATGAGAATGAAGGAGGCCATAAAGGCGTCCTACAATTGTAGGAATGACTGACGATACGGCCCTAAATCACACCAATATAATATATATACAAGTTCATCAACAGCTGCTAGTGTTTCTAATTTTCAAATCACAAACTATTCGGATCAGGATAATGCGATATGAATACTTAAATATTCTATTAGCTCCCATCCCAACACAGAACGTAAGTAGTTTGACACAGTTTCCTCTACGCGACGTAACGCGCCATCTATGTACTACATACCTACCTACAGAGAGATGGCGCCTAACAGTGTCTCCACAGTTTTCTACAGAAAGATATGATTTCTAGTGCAAAATCGAACCAGTATGTCGCGCCACAAGTGCAATTTCGAGTTGACTCGCCATATTAATCAACAATACATCTCGATGATGGAAAATGTTTTGAGAAATGAGTAAAATTGCTGCAAACAATCACTTTTATTAATAAAATATACATATGTTTATTAAAATATACTTACAACAAGCAAATAACAAAATTAAAATGTTAAATATGACATAATGAATTTACATACCAATACACCTTTCCATCAAATATAAAAGAGGACTTAAAATCTAATATGTATAAATAGCATCGAAACAATGGTACCTAGTTACAAGAATTAAAAACTGTGAATATATATATATATATATATATATATCTGCCAGGTGTAGCTGCCTTATTCACGTTTTAGTTTTGATCGAAAATATAATCTATAGACGCCATCTTCCTTTCAAGAGCACAGTATAGAATCTAGCTTGAGTTCAATTACCTTTTAGGTAATTTATTTTTCACAATTTACAATATGTAATGACAATAAAATTAAATATATTTTAGAGACACCAAAGGATTTGGTTATTCAGAGCGTTATTTCTCTTTGATATATACAGAACATTGATGGTCAACATTCCACAGGGTTTCTGAATACTAATCTGATACAGAAACAAAGGTAGACAAGTTATTGAGCGCGTTCAGCCAACATAAAGCGGAACAGCGTTGCAACACTTTTTATGTTGAATAGCAGTAGCCATGGGTCAGCTTTATCAGTTTGACAGCAGTTTTTACTTGGTTGCACTAGAGCTAAAAGGGCCATGGTCCAAATGCTTTTTTTTGTAAACCTGAAGAGGCCTACGCGCTGAAAATAGGCTACTGCTTGGCAATCAGGTCTGATAATTTGTTGAATGGAGGTACGTTAATTAAGTGACGAGACTGACATCGTGGCGTTCGATCTGGCAACACTGGAGGTGCCGGCCTTGGAGGGGAGACAGGAGAACTTGCGATCCGCCTTCAGTACAAGTTTAAACTCGCTCGAGTTATTTGGTTGTCTGTAGCGATTTTTTTGTGAAACAGTTTTTCCTATTATGTTCTAAGAATGAGTGACAACAATTTGGAGCAGCGGTGTTCTATCAGGTTTTGCTTCAGAGTTGAGAAGAGCCCGGGTTTTTCGGTGGTTTAAGACATTTTCAGAAGGGAGAGTGTCGACTGAATATGAACCACGAAGCAGAAGGACTTTATCTTCAAGAACCGATGAAAATATCGACAGAATCAGGGATCTTGTGCATTCAGATCATCGGTTGACAGTCAGAATGACCGGGGAAGAGCTTAATTTGACTCAAACCACCGTCCATCAGTTAAAGAACAACTGGGTATTGTGCTCCTGTTCACATAGCAATGTCAATAAACAAGTTTTTGGCCAGTAAAAACATTTATGTGGCTCCTCAGCCTCCTTATTCGCCGGACTTGCGCCCTTGTGACTTTCACAAAGTTGCAAAATCACTTCAAGGGAACTCATTTTCGAACCAGACGAAGGCTATTCCAGTATCAGGGTTCCAGCACAGCTATGGGGAGTGGAAGAACCGTCTCCAACGCTGGGTGGCTTCAGACTCAACTTACTTTAAGTGACAATATAAAATTGTGAAAATTTTAGAATAAAAAATAGTCTCATCAATTCCGGCAATTGTTCAAATTATTGGATGGTGTAAAGCGGCTATTTCGCAACCAAAAAGTCTACGACTTGTATACCATCCTTCCAAATGACCTCAAGAACCGATGCTCAATAATATGGAATCTAAACGGCGTGTCTTTTAACAACAATCTAATTTTTAAAAGCTGCGTCATCATATTTATACCACTACGTCGGTTGTTCTACATTGGCAGATCTCGGAGGTGCCATAAAGGCTTCCGTTAACGAGAACTTAGCCTCAGGATCGACCAGCGGTAAGCCCAATTTAGCTTCTGCCTCCATCAGAGCTGCGTACTTGGCCTCGGATTCGGCCAAATTGTACTTGGCCTCAGCTTCCGAGTGTACCGAAGACGGCGTCATAGGTGTTGAGGCGTTGGATGGGTAGTACGGATAGTGCAAAGGGCCTTGGATGAGTGTCTGAGGTGTATTATAACAACTGCGGATATGACTTTCCAAAGCCGTTTTGGAAATGAAGCCTTTGCCGCATATCGGGCAAATGTTAGGCCTTTCCCCGGTATGGGTGCGTTCATGGATGCGCAAAGGTGTACGCTGTGTGAATCCCCTTCCACAGTATTTGCAAATGTATGGCTTCTCCCCGGTGTGAACTCTGACGTGCTCTATCAACTGCTCTTTCTTAGAGAAGCTCTTCGGGCAGATTTGGCACCCGTACGGTTTGTAACCAGTGTGAGTTCTATGATGGAACTTCAACTTTTCTCTACTCGACAATCTCTTGCCGCAAATATCACACAGCACGCTCAGGTCCACGCCGGTTTCATTATGGTTTTTGAGGTTATGTCTTCGTAAGCCGGAAGCCGAAGCGTAATGTTTGTTACATATAGTACAGTCGAATTTAACAAGAGGTGTACCGGTGAGAATCTCATAGTGAGACGTTCTCCTGTGAGAAGCCAGGAACCAAGAGAACATAAAATGTTTGCCGCAAATTTCGCATTGAAAAGGCTTTTCGCCAGTATGGAAGTACTTGTGCTCAGTAGCGTGGGTGCTAACTGTAAAAGCTTTATTACATATTTCGCATTTGTACTTGGTGGCACCTTCGTGAGCTCTCACGTGCATCTCCATATGATACTTCGAGGCGTTTTTGTAAGCGCACATGTGGCAGTGGTACTTGCCGTCTTCATTGTGGACTATAGAATGCAACGCGAACGCTACGTTGTTTTTGTAAGTTCCGTTACAAACATCGCATTCTATAGGCTCGTCTAAATCCGGTAGCGGCGGATGGCTATCCATGTTACGTTTCGCTCTTCTTTTCTTCTCTTTTTTGTCCTTTTTCTCTTTCTTGGTTTTCTTCGTTTTGACTCTGTCCGTGTCTTTTAGTTTTCGTCCTTTTCGTAGCCTTTTCTCTTGTTTCTCTTTTTTGATCTTCTGCTTTTCAGCCTTTGATTGTTTTTTCTTTTTGATTTGTTCGCTGGCCGGTTCCCAATCTGTTTCAGAATCTTCTTCCTCTTTTATTTCTACAGGAAACTCTGGCCTAAAAATTAGTTGTAGTCAGTATACAGAGAAATCCAAATACCGCTGACGTCGAAGAGTGCAATTCGTATGTTAGAAAGAGATAGAAGCACCTCGTTGCCTAGCAGCCCGAGTGACGAGGCTTGCCGCGTTGCCATCTAACACGTGCTTTTATCTCGTACACACTGCTTCGTCAGTGATATTCGTATTTCTCTACAGATAAATTTGTACACTTTGTTATACTTACAAACATAAGCAATATATATATATATATATATATATCGCTTTTTAACCACCTATGCGAAAATATAAAATCCTAAGTCAGATCCTAGTGATTCCCTTAGTAGCAATACAAATAGACCCTATTTAGCTTTTGAAGGAAATTGCTTATTATAGTATATTCACTGAATCGAAGCAGTTACGTCACAACGTCAAATAATGACAGTGACGTACATGGTTGCCACATTACTTAAAACTACTAGATCCTAGGAAATAAACCGCAAATAAACAACAGCCGCTGGCGTAATTATCTGACAATCTTTGCGACAATGTCACAACACAGAAAACTGTTACCAACATAAATGTATCTGGGAAATTCAAACTATACGTACCAATTTAGGATCTATTTTGCATTAAGGTTGCCATCCAAACTGACTAAATGTGACGTAACTGCTTTGCTTCAGTGAAAGGACTATATTATATATAGCTAGCGCTAAGTTGACATCTTGTATAAAAAGCTACTGACAAAATGTCACTTTCAAAATACGTAATACCCGTGCCAGTTGACAAGATAAGCTGGGACACAGTGCCAACAGACAGTGGTCGATTCTAGTAATAGATGGCGCTTTTCGCACTCTTGTTTCGATAAAATTGCTTATTCTTCAAAAAGATATAAATGTTTTAAGAAAAGATTACCCCTCAATCCCCTCATAATTATTCGTTACATTTTGATGTTCTAAAATAATCTTGCAGCTATCATTCGATTGATATGAGCCTTGAAGTCTTCATGTAGAACAAAAAAGTAGCTGCC